AGGAACAAGAGGACGAGCGGCACGGAGGTAGTCAGACAGCGGGGGGGGTGCAACAACAAGGGAGGACGGAGGAGGCGACGGGAGAAGGGGAGGACGAGACGCGTGGGAACGAAGCAACATAGGGTGGGAGCGCAAGACAGGCGAGGCAGGACGAGCACGGGAGGGACGGTGAGACCAGACGTGCGATGGAGGAGTCGGGTCAGGAGACAGGGGAGGGGACACAGGAGGGGAACGAGGAGGAAGACGGGCCGGGGACGAGTCCGGCTGAGGGAACACAGGGCCGTAGACGGGAAAAGGAGGAGACGGTCGGAGAGGAACAGCCACAGGGTCAGGGGACGGAAGGCCGAGCAGGCGAAGGGCTGACACCGGCGGGGACTGCTGCTGCGGCGGCACAACGGCGACACCGGGACTGCAAGCGGCTCCGCGGCTACCACCGGCACACTCCACACCAGCACCCCCAGAGGATCCACCCCCAGGGCTACCGGGACTAGCACCCCCAGAGTCAACAAACGGGTGCTGCGACGGCGGCGGCGGCAGCGACAACGACGGCTGCAGCGGCGGCAGAGGCGGTGGAGGAGGGGACTGGGGAGGGGACGCCGGGGGAGGGGCGGCCGGCGAGGACTGCGCAGCAGGGCCACCAGAGTCAGAAGACTCCTCAACAGGTTCCATCGACGGAAGGGGGGTGACGTGGGACACACCAGAGGGGGCAGGATGGGGAGGAGGAGGGGGAGGGGCAGGGACTACCGGGGAAGGAATGACCAGGAACAGGGGGGGGTAACCGGGGGACCGCGGTGGGGGAAGCGACGGTAGTAGGAGACGGACTCGTCAAAGGTGACGTCGCGAGAGTGAAAGAAACGGTGAGACGGCGGGTGGTAAAAGTGCCAGTCAGACGCGTCAAGGGGAAAGCCGAGGAAGACGCAGGGAAGGGTGCGGGCAGTGAGCTTGTCCGTGCCGGAGGCACGGACGTCAGCAAGGCAGCCCCAGACGTGGAACGCAGACGTGTCACCAGGAGACCCAGTCCAAAGACGGGTCGGCGAAACCTGCGGCTGCTGAGGGTGCGGCCACAGGTTAAGCTAGTGAGAAGCGTAGCGCACAGCGAACGGCCACAGAAAATGGGGTGCACCGGCATGGATCATGGAGGTGCGAGCCACCTCCATGACCAAACCGATGCGTCGCTCAGTGACCCCATTCTGCTGTGGGGAGTCCGGTAGGGTGAACGTCTGGGAGATGCCCTCCGCACGACAAAAGCGACCAAGGACACCTGAGGCAAACTCGCCACCACGGTCGGAGTGAAGACGCAAGACAGGGAGACCGCGGTGGACACGCGCAGAGACAAGCCAGGGGATGAGAGCGCCAGGCACGTCAGCCTTACGCTCCAGGGGAAAGACTGTGGTGTAACGAGTAAAGTCATCGACAAGCACAAGGAAGTAGCGCTCGCGACGCGGCCCAGGGACGGGGGCGGAGCCCCAGACGTCCAGGTGCAGGGTCTGCAGCGGCGCGGCGGTAGGGGGAAACGAGGAGGAGTGAGGGGCACGGCGAAGCCGACCCTCGATACAAGGCGTGCAAGGTGGGGCTGGGGAGGAGGGAAACGCGGGGAGAGAACCTGGGAGACCAAGGACAAGACCGTGCTGGGACATATGACGCAGACGCGGGAGCGCAGGGTGACCTAGGCGGTGGTGCCAAAGGAGAGTCGGGTGAGTGAGGGACCGACAGGAGCAGGCAGCAGCAACCTGGGTAGACGCAGCCGCCTGAGGGAGCGCCCCTGTCGGGGGGGTCACGGTGTCCAGAGTGAACAGGCCGGACACCGGGTCCCGGGGGAACGTGGACAGGGGGGCACCCGTGGCGGCCTCGGTACAGACAGCATACCGCTCGTGACCAGGGAACGTAGTGGTGACGCCAAGGTCCTGGAGGCAGCCGACACCAACTAGGTTCCTGGAGAACGAGGGGATATGCAGACCCGTGAGAGTGCCCGAAGGAACCGCCGGACAGGGAAGGGTGGTGGAACTGCGGGCGACTACCGGACTGCCGGAGGGGTCAGCAAGAGAAACGGCAGCAGGAACAGGAAGCGGCGTCAGTGTGGTGAAGTCGCGGAAGAAACACCGGGAAGCGCCAGAGTCCAAGGTGAAGGAAAGCGAAGCAGAGGCGTCAGGCGACGGAACGACGGCGGAAGCACCAAGACTACACAAAGCAGGGGATCCTACGCCTGACGCAGCAGGGGAGGCTAAGCTAGGCACACCTACACTAGCCGACAGTGACTAATAAGCGGGAAACACACTAGATTCATCAGCATACATCACATGCAGAACAGAAACAATGGCATCCATGTCCATGTCAAAAATCTGAATCTTACGACTAAGCAAACTGTGCCAGTCCGGGAGGTCTGGCGACGGGCCGAAGCGCTGACGAAACAGGTCGTCCAGGCGACGAAAACAGCGGGGAGTGGAGTGACCGATCTTACCGCAAACGAAGCCGCGGCGAGGACCGGTCTGGATCTGGTACTGACAACGCACGCCTCCAGAACCACCACTCGGCACACCACCACGCGCCCGACCACCGCCAGCGCCGGGCCACCCGGGCGGGAGGACACTCGTCTGCCTCGTCTGCGGCGGCTGCTGCGGCTGCTGTGAAGGCTGCGGCTGCTGCGACTGCGGCGGCTGCTGCGACTGCAGGGGCGGCGGCTCAGCTGGACTGGGCAGGGTCCCCTCGTCCGCTCCAGCACCAGACGACCCGACTCCACCACCACCCCCTCCAGCACCCCCGCCTCCTCCGCCGCGCCCAACCTTGGGGCGGCGGCCCTTCCCCGAACAAAACTGCGCTGCAGCAGCAGTCTCAGCCACAGCGGCAGAGCTGTCGGAGAAAGTACACTGAGCGGGGGCACAACCCTGAAAGATAGGGACCGGCACGGTACCGCTTGCCTGGGCGATGGAGCGGTGGCGGGTCTCAATCACAGTCAGGGTGTCTACAAAGTCAGTGAGGGTGAGGTCTGCGGGGTGAATGCTAAGGAAGCGGTCGCGGGCGACAGCAAGGCGGTCAGGGAGGCGGGTGGCAAGCAGGTAAAGGGTAGAGGTAATGGGCGGCTGGTGGGCTCTAAGCTGTGCGTCAGTGCAGGCAGCGCGCCAGGTCTCATCTATCGAGCGCAGGTGGGCAGCGAGGTCAGAGACAGTGGGGAAAGACGCAAGGTCAGGAAAGAGCATCGGGAGGATCAGGCGACCCACCGAGGCAGCTGGAGGGGTGGAATAGCGCTTGATGACAGCATCTAAGTAAGCCTGGGCAGTAGTGAGGGACCTAAAGCGGGGGCGCTCGGACGGGGGAAGGGCATTGCTAATGGCCAGCTGAGCGACAGCATCTCGAGAAAGCCAGACAGAGCGCGCACGGGCAGTGGCAGCAGTAGACTCGCGCTCAGTGGGTGCGGAGTCAGCGGGCAGAACAACAGGGGGGTCTGGGCATGGGAGCGTACCGTCAAGGTGTGCGGAAAGCGGTTCACTATCCTGCCGCTGGCCAGTGAGTTGACGCCGGAGGTCGGCAAGCCACGCCTCGAACTCCAGAGGCTGGCCTTCAGCGTCGAAGCGAAGCTCCGCCGCCATCAGGGGCAGTGCAGGACTGTACAGTGCGGTGCAGTGCAGAGCAGGGTAGTGCAGTGCGGTGCAGGGCGGTGCAAGGCGAGGCAGTGCGATGCAGGGCAGTGCAGGGCGGTGCTGTGCGGTGCAGTGCGGTACAGTGCGGTGAAAGGTGGTGGAGAACCGTACCAGGGAGAGTGCAGATCGGACGGTCGTAGGGCCGGCGAGGAAGGGCCGGACGTCGACGTGGGGCCGGCCGGGACAAGCGCGGGAGCCGGCTCGAACGGGCGCGGGACCGGCAGGGACGGGCGCGGGGCTGGCTGGAACGGGCGCGGGGCCGGCTGGGACAGGCGCGGGGCCGGCTGGGACGGGTGCAGGGGCGGCCTGGACGGGCACGAGGGGCCGGCTGGGACGGTCGCGGGGCCGGCTGGGACGATCGCGGGGCCGGCTGGGACGGTCGCGGGGTCTGCTGGGACGGTCGCGGGGCCGGCTGGGACGGGCGCGGGGCCGGCTGGAACGGGCGCGGGGCCGGCTGGGACAGGTGCAGGGGCGGCCTGGACGGGCACGAGGGGCCGGCTGGGACGGGCGCGGGGCCGACTGGGACGATCGCGGGGCCGGCTGGGACGGTCGCGGGGCCGGCAGGGACGGTCGCGGGGCCGGCTGGGACGAGCGCGGGGCCGGCTGGGACGGTCGCGGGGCCGGCTGGGACGGTCGCGGGGCCGGCTGGGACGGTCGCAGGGCCGGCTGGGACGGTCGCGGGGCCGGCTGGGACGGTCGCGGGGCCGGCTGGGACGGTCGTGGGGCTGGAGCGACGGACTAGGGAAGGCGCGATGGGCTAGGTAAGGCGCGACGGGCTAGGAGTCGCGCGACAGGGCCAGGAGGCACCAACGGGGGGCCCATGAGGGGCGTGACGGGTGCTAGGGGGCGCGACGGGCCCAGGGGAGCGTGACGGGGCCCAGGGGAGCGTGACGGGGCCCAGGGGGCGCGACGGGGCCCAGGGGAGCGTGACGGGGCCCAGGGGGCGCGACGGGGCCCAGGGAAGCGTGACGGGGCCCAGGGGGCGCGACGGGGCCCAGGGGGGCGGGACGGGGCCCATGGGGGGGCGTGACGGGGCCCAGGGGGGGCGCGACTGGTCCTAGGTGACGCGACGGGGCCCAGGGGGGCGCGACGGGCCCAGGGGGGGGGCGCGACTGGTCCTAGGTGACGCGACGGGGCCTAGGGGGCGCGACGCACGGGGGTAGATCCTAGGGCGGAAGCGTGGGGGGGGGGGCGGTGGGACCTACCTACTGCTGATACCATCTTAGAACTGAAGAATGTTGAATAGAGAGAGAGTACAAGGGTATATACCTAAGAGTGTTGTACCCTCTAAGAGGCAACCCTATACAGTCTATACAAACATGAGTTATACTTATGTTTGACAATAAGCCCCACTGGGATTTTAATTTTTCAGGGTCTTAAATGCGGGCAAATACGGTAGTGGGGTGGGGTGATAGTATTAAAACCATGGGCTCCCACATTTCAAGAAATCCACTCCACTGCTGAGCAACTTAACCCTGTTTTGCCATAGTACCACGCCCTGATCTCCTCTCCCAAAGCACAACCTGCCAATGCCTTGGTTTCTGCTGCACCCTTAACACTACAGTCTGCGGTCCCTCCCCTCACCTCTCTTTCAACACAACTCGCAGCGGCTTAGCCAATGCCATGGTGAGACTAAACTCCTCCCCCAGGTCTACCCCACCAGAGGCAACCAGATCTTGGGGGAGCTTCAAATCAAACCGGTGAAGAAAGTTTGCTAGCATACGGGCAGATAAATCCAGACCCAGATTCATCCCCACACACCCACGCCTGCCCGAACCAAAGGGCAGCACGCCAAAATGCATCCCAGTAACATCAGGGGCAGATGGGCCAAGAAACCTGCTGGGATCAAAATCATGGGGGTCTTTCCAGACCGTTGGATTGTGAGCGAGACCCCAGCCGTTGATCTGAATGATTGTGTTTGGGGGAATGGTGTAACCGCCGATTGTAACCCTGGTGGTTGTCATGTGAGGGATGAGGAGTGGTACTGGTGGGTGGTGCCTGAGAGTTTCCTTAATCACAGCCTGAAGGTAAGGCATGTCTTGTACAGGGAGCGATGCCAGTTCAGCTCCCTGGTTTCCAGTAGGTACTTCTTCTGCTGCTGCTGCTGCTGCTGCTGCTGCTTCTATTTCTGTGACTGCTTCCGGTGGTGCCAACTTAGACGCTAACTTGGCGTACGCTGCATCCACCTCAGCTTGCAGACGTTCCAGCATGCCAGGTTGACTTGCCAGCTCAGCTAGGGCCCACTCAACGGTCTTAGCAGTGGTGTCAGTGCCAGCATTCAGTAAATCCAGGCAAAGCAGCATGATATCCTTTCTGGTTACCCTATCCACTCCGGTTACCCTATCCCCCTCGTCGCCTTCCATCTCCAGCAATGCATCCACCAGCACTCGTTCCCGCGATTCATCCTCTCCCCCCTTCCGCGGAGTCCGCCGCTTCAGCATCCGGCTTCTCTCCTCAATGCACGCCAGCACGAACCCTTCAATGTGCGGCTTGAGCCGCTTCGCGCGCGCGTAGATGCGCTGCGAGTCCACGTGGCTCAGCCACGGGATGAAATCCGCCAGGTTGAACGTCCCCATGACTTTAAACGTCTCGTCGATCATCGCTATCACCTTCTCGCCTTCCATCTCGTCCCCCTCCGTCGGAGCCGCCCCAGCCGCCGCAAATCCCGGCGAAGGTCGCCGCGAGGAATCGTCTGCAGACTCGCCGGATTTCGCGCCGCCAACGGCGCTAATCGCGGCGATCCGGCCCTGCCAGTCGGTCTTGATTGCCGCTTCGAGCATCTCCCCTGGCGCGGCGGCGGCGGCGCGATGGATGGTGCTGTAGCTGTAACGCTTCCCGACGGTCAGCCGCAGAATGTTGTTCAGCGTCGCGCGGTTCAAATACCCTCGCACTTCCACGCCTCTCGCGTCCGCGTTACTGGCATCCTCCGCTATCGCGTCGAGCATGTCGCGGATCTCCTGCTCGCGCACGGGCAGAGTGGCCTGTAAGGCCCGCGGCGATAGGAGGTGCAGCGTCGCCAGGCGTCGCTGCATTCGCCAATGGTCGTTAGACGGCGAAAAAACCATGTCGTTTCCATCGTGCGTTATGAATGCGAGAAGGCGTAAGAGCGGGCGTGAAGAGCAGAATTTATCCTGCGTTTTAAGCACTTCGCGAGCCAGCTCCGGCGAAGTTATAATCACGGACGGAATGGACCCGAGCCACACGGTCAGGATCGAACCGAACCTGTCCGCCAGCTTCGCGAGGGAGCGGTACGGCAGAAAGCCCAGGTCCGGAAGGTTACCGAGGATGGGCCATGGGGAAGGGCCGGGGGGGAGGGCGCGACGGCGGCGAAGGAAGGAGAGCCAGGATGCAGAGAAGAATAACGCCATAACTGAGATAATTATAGCGAAAAGCGAGGGAATTTGAAACGCGTTACTCGCCGCGGGCCATGCTTCTGAGGCGTCAGGGGAATGAATATCCATGTTGGGTGCTGGCTTAGCTTTCCTCACAGTCTTCTTCGCCGCTTCCCTTGCCGCACTTAGTCTTCAGGAGTCGGCAGCTACGCATCTCGTAAAAAAAGGCTTTGTCTTCAGGATCTGCATGCCGAATTTTACTCTTCACTGCCGACAGGAGAAACGCTATGGCTGGGGAATTGGGATGGGAGGACGGCAGATGCTTGCAGAATCTAGAAATGTCCGATTTCGTTTTGGCACCTTCATACATTCGTTTGTTGTGATTCTCCCACCCCTAAACTGTCGGCAAATAGTGCCTTCGACTATACCAACTGAAGCATGTCTTATCGAGTAAAATATCGGGCAAATGGAATGATTGAAATAAAATATCATTCTGATTTTACCTTAGAAGATGAAGTGCTGGTTGTTTTATCAGAATGTTCAGAGAATGCCTTTGATTGAAGCCACTATGTCATGCATGTTGAGTGCTTCCTTACGACGAAGATTATTCACGACTGGGTCTTGATTACAGTGACGAATCATTCTCTATCCCGAAAACGGAAAACGTTATCCAGGTCAACCATTGCGTGGATAACGCAGGAATTTGAGTCAGGAATTCGTGGCCCTCGTCGGCTCCGAGATGAGGTCTCCAGAACCTGCGAATCACAGTGACGTCACGTGTTGGAACCTGGCCTGCCATCGCCAACTGACTCCACTGGGAAGCGAGGAGGACCTGTTGTATTGTATTGGGCTGCGAGAACTTGTCGATGCGAAACCCGTTTCGTATATCTTCGCATGGAGAGTGAATGGACGGAAGAGAAAGGACCACCTCACATTCACCAACCGTCAACTCCCAATCGGAGGGCGGAGGTTGGCTCTCAGGTGGGGTGCCTGCCTGCCTGCTGTCTGCCTATCGTCGCCCAGCCTATGTGTCGCCGCGTCAGTGCTCCCCCACCACATCCCGCTCGGCCACTCAACGAGGGTTTCCGTGGATAACCTTCTCCGGGCTGACGTGTTTTGCTCTTTCAGACAGTTCTCACACAATTCAGGCCCTCAGCTCCAGGAAACCCTAGCACGGAAAGGAGGAGCCCAACTCAAGAAAATGGCGTCCAGCACGGTTGAGAACGTGAGTGACCAAGTTAGGACGGATGGCAGGGAGGATAGGAGCACGTTGCGGAAATTAGAATCGGCCAGTCAAGACACAGCTAGTTTGACGAATCGTTCCAATTGTGGGGATGACGGAGGGAATTGTACGCTTCGCCTTGCCTCGCCAGGAGATGGAGTTAGTAAGGAATATGGTGTGCAAAGATCCGACGGTACGGATAGGTCAGGTGTGAACCAGTCGCAGAAGCGACAGCGGGAGGAGTCTTATGAGCGCCATGAGCCAGACAGTCAGGAGCCAATTGGTGGAGTTCACGATCACCATGGAACGGGAGTCTCGAATCCGGCTTCCGATGAAGACCCTGGCGTTGTCGATGAGAAAAGGCAAAAGCGGATGCTAAGCAACCGTGAATCGGCGAGACGATCGAGATTAAGAAAGCAGCACCATCTGGACGAGATGAAGCAGCAGGTAGGTTACGATATTAAAAATTCCTAACCTCTTTTCGCCTCCTTCAATTGCAATTCTGATTGACTCTTTCTGAATTGGTGGTGTTTGTCCGCAGGTTGCTCAATTACGAGCGGAAAACACTGACATGGTGACGAAGTATAACCTGGCGTCACGACACTACGCTCAGATCACTGACGAGAATCGCGTCCTTAGATCGCATGCCATGGAGCTCAGCCGTCGCCTCCAGCGATTACACCACGCGGCAACTGCACAGGGTCACACCATGGGACATGAATTCATGGGCATGGGACACATGGATCCATCACTGCAGCTTGGTATGGGAGGGATGCCGTCTGGTGGCGGCATGCCGCATGGTCAGCATCATGCAATGGCTCACATGCCTCAGATGGCCCATCACGTGGCTGGAGCTCATCCTTCAGCTTTTCATTACCAGTTTCCAGGCTCCATGACGCCGGAGCTCACGAGATGATTTGGCTTTGAGAGATTATGTTCCTCATAGTATACTGAACTGACTGCTCATTAGCACTCAGGTTTGTTCTCATGCGTGTTCGTGTTCTTGCTAGGTGATTTCTAATTTGGTTGGTGTGGTGTGTTCAGTGAGGAGAGAACAATTTCGTGATGTACATTTGTTCATCTAATTTTGGATTTGTTTCTCCATCCAAGGAGCACATGCGTCCATCTTGTAGTGAAGCCGTTGATTTGTTTGTTTAGCCTATTTGGCTGGATTGTCTTTGAGCTGGAGGAACAGCAAATTACCATCGTATACCCATCAAATTGGGTGGGGAGATTATAGACTCAACTTAGGGCTTGTTCCTACAGGATATTGTTCAGTACCAGGAAAGGAAAAGCATTCTGAACACCCACCCTAATGGTTCACCGCGTTTAGTGCCAGGACCGCATCCGCGCAATGTCGCATAACCCTAGCCTATTGGCGAACCCGAACAGAACACTCGAGTGTCATGCTGCGCGTCGCACGATCGCGGCGTGGTTCGCATCGCAATGTTCCGGAAATGGCATGTGCGGTGCGACATGCTCGGTGCTGGTACTGAACAGTACCATGCAAATCCGCATGTTCAGACATGCGTTCAGCATGGAGTTGGCTATCCTAGTACTGAACACTGTACTGTAGGAATACGCCCTTACTACCAGACCCTACGAATGCAATTAGAGAACATGAATCTGGCAGACACAGAACGGAACACAAATGCGAGCAGTCGGGTCGGGGCTATTCGTGCCAGTGTATTTTTCCTTGATCGGCATCTGTATGATGGAAGAATGTACTCTATTTAGGGCGGTTTCTTACAGCCTTGCGTCAGGCCAACCTCTCGTCAGACTCATCATTTTTCCCGAACCGCTGCTCAGACTCACCATCCTCGCGTCAGACTTGGGTGCACGTGCCAAGAGTCGCAAAAGCTGTTTGCGATGCCATGTGCGTACGTTTCACTCGCAAATAGCGGTTCACTCAAACCTGCACCACGCAACTTGTTATGATTTAAAAGATGTCAATGTACTATAATGAGAATACAACGTCCCTATTGCCATGAAAGCACAAGGTTATATAGGAGTGGACGTAATAGGGCGATAACCTCGGGACGTGGATAGGTTCGGCAAATGTGGCGACGCTCTCGGGCGCGACTCGAGAAAGGGTTGGGCCGAAAATGTAGGCCAAACGTGATGAGTCGAAGTGTTCGGGTGTACGCGGTAGCGGGCGACTCAGTAAGGAATGGAAATTCCTTACACTACCCCCTCTTCCTAAACAAGGCCGTGGGCATCGGTGACATTCCGACACTGGTAATATGCCGTTAGAATCGGATGTGATTCTAGATCAGCGAGGGGCACCCAACTGTCGTCTTCGGACGTGCGATCGCGCCAGCGGATTAGGAAATCAACCATCCGACGGTTCAGCTGCGTGGTGATGCGATGGCCGAGAATTTTCAAGGGCTCGGTCGTCGGTTCCTGCAAAGGCGTCAGTTGTGGTACACCACGGTTGCGTGCCAAGTCCGACGAACTCGGGACGTAGGGTCGGAGGAGACTGACGTGGAAAGCCGGGTGATGGCGCCAATCAGCCGGTAGCCGAAGGTGGACAGTGACAGGTGTCACGAGATTGGTCACTTGAAAAGGTCCGCAGAATCTGGGTCGGAGTTTGCTTGGGATCGGCAGCCGCAAATTGCGAGTGTCGAGGAGGACAAGATCTTCCACTTTGTAAATGACGTCGCGTCGATGTCGATCGGCTTGTCGGCTTGCGACCAGGTTAGCTTTCCGAATGGCCTCAGCTGCTTTGTCGCGAGTGGCGAGAATGTCTTCTGCAAATTTCTGGGACCGGGGCACTGGTGACTCGATGTTCGGTGTAGAGGGTACTACCGGGTCCTGTCCGTAGTTGAGGAAAATTTGAGATTGATTGGTTGTAGCTGAGATCGCGTTATTATACACGAATTCGAATAGCGGAAGAGATTTCTCCCATGTCGATGGGTCAGTATAGGTAGTGCGAATGAGCTGCTCCATGGTTTGGTTAACGCGTTCGGTCTGCCCGTCGGTTTGTGGGTGGTAGGCGGATGAAAATTGGAGTTTGGTGCCGAATTGGTCCCACAGGTGACGCCAGAAATTCGATGTGAATTTTGGGTCTCGGTCTGAAATGATGGCGGAGGGCAGTCCGTGCAGGCGGATGACGTTCGTGATGAACAGCTGCGCAGTTTGTTCGGCGGTGATTCTCTGTTGGCAGGCGATGAAGTGCGCCATTTTTGTGAGTCGGTCAACGACCACGAGGATGGCGTCGTTTCCGCTGGGGCCGGCCGGCAGTCCTGTCACGTAGTCCATCGTGACGTGTTGCTAGGGTCACTCGGGCGGATCCAACGGCTGTAGTATTCCGGCTGCTCGCTGATGCGACGATTTCATGATCTGGCAGGCAGTGCAGGAGGACACGTACTTGCGCACGTCATCGGCCATGTACGGCCAGTAGTAATTCCGCTGCAACATCCTTCGTGGTTTTATCGACGCCGAAGTGTCATGAGGTAGGGTTGTCATGGGATTCCTGGATTAGGAGGGTACGAAGTAAATCGTAGCTTGGCACCCAAATGCGAGAAGTACCACGCTTATAAAAATATGGCCCGGTGGCTGTGGTATGCTGTTGATGGATGTAAGGATATGTGGTCCGTCCGCACCGTGACGTCAGCTCCGGTCAGGTAGCACCTCCAGGTCTTGAACGCGTGGACGATCGCCAGCATTTCCTTGTCGTGGACTGTATAGTTTTTTTCCGCGCCCTTCAGCTTCCGTGATTCGTAGGCGACTGGTTGTAACCCGTCGCCGAAGTCCTGGAGGAGAACTGCACCGATGGCGATGTCGCTGGCGTCGGTGACGACTTCGTATGGACGGTTGGGATCGGAGATGCGAAGGACGAGCGGCGACGTGAGGGCGATTTTGAGTTGATCGAATGCAGCTTGCTGCTTCTCACCCCACCAAAAATAATCGTGATCCTTCAATCGGTCTGTTAGCGGTGCAGATAACCCTGCCATATTGGGGATAAAGCGGCGGACGTAGTTGACAAAACCCAGAAAACTTTGGAGTTCCTTGAGGTTGGTCGGCGGCTTCCATTCCTGTATGGTCTTGATTTTCCTGGGGTCGATTTTCACGCCTTCGGTAGAGACGACGTGGCCCAAAAACTCCAACTCCTGCTTAAGAAAGTCGCACTTAGACCCTTTCGTGATGAGGCGATTCTTGTGCAGCAGCGTGAAGACTGCATCAAGATCCTTTAAGTGTTGCTCCCTGCTGCGGCTGTAGATTAGGATGTCGTTGAGGTAGATAATTACGCATTTATCCAGGAGTTCGCGAAAAACACCGTTCATGGTCATATGAAAAGTCGAGGGCGCGTTCGTGAGCCCAAAAGGCATCACCAAGTATTCGTAACTACCGTAGCGGGTTCGGAAGGCGGTCTTGTGGCAATCCTCGGCGACGACGCGAATTTGGTGGTAACCTCCTCGCAGATCAATTTTCGAGAAGAACTTGGCTCCGCGAAGTTGGTCGAGTAGATCGTCGGCTCGTGGGATCGGGTAACGGGACTTGATGGTGATGCGGTTGAGTGCGCGGTAGTCGATGCACATACGGAATCCGTCATCTTTTTTCGGTGTGAACAGGATGGGGGCGGCGTATATGGATGTGCTTGGGCGGATAAAACCTTTCGTCAGGAGGTAGTCCAACTGCTGCTGCAATTCCTCGAGTTCCGGTTGGCCGAGCCGAAATTGTCGCTGTACTGTCGGTTGTGCGCCTGGTTCCAGCTCGATGCGATGGTCTTCGGGTCGACTTGGCGGAAGTCCGGCGGGTAGGTCGGCCGGGAAAATCTAGGGGTATTTTCGAATGAGTTCCGCTAAATCCGGAGGAACGGCTTCACACAGCTTCGTGATATCTTCCGTTGTTATCAGCGACGTCACCTCGTGAAGATCGACGGCGTATGCTGCTGCTCCCGCTTTTATCGCGCGCTTGAAGGTGATCACGTGGACTTGGGTACTTCGCATGCGGGGTCCCGCCCATTTCGATAACTCGTGATAGTGCCCATCGATCTTGATGCTGCAGCTGCTCGTCGTCCAGTCAATCCCGTCCCAGCAGCACGTCGCACCCGTCGAGTGTAGTCGCCAGCAGCCCCATCCGAAATTTTACGTGCTCGCCGCAGTGGAAACTGACGTGCTCCACCCGCTCCCGTATAGCCAGCGGTGTTCCATCCACCAGTCTCGCGTCAATTTTGGGTAGGCACTTTAATAAGGGAATACCCATTTTCTTAGCCCTGTCTATCTGTATGAGACTGTGACTCGCGCCTCCATCAACGAATACTTTCAGCAACACCCCGTTGACTTTACCCTCCACCAACACAGGGTGATCAGCAGTTTCGTCCCCCTTATTCATCCGGATCCGGTCGATTGCAGCAATCGGGATCACGACCCGGTGGGGACTGTGTGGTTCGGGCGGAGAAGCCTGCCCGTCAGTAAGGGGCCCGGTACTTACTGACGCGACCCATTTCCCGGTCGCTCCTCCGGCTTCTTCCCCATAGAATTCTGGGTGGCTATGAACTCTTGGCAGTTGCGTTTGATGTGACCCGGTCGGCCACAGTGGTAGCATAGCCCCGTATTTCGCGGAGCAACTGCGTAAATGTCCACTGCGTCCATCCCTTTGATCATGGTGCGCTGGTACTGTTCTCGAGGGCGACCTCCATCGTAGAAGTTCGTCCTCGGCTTCGTGAGCGAATCAGCGGCTTCAGCGAGTTGGATGAAGTCTTGTAACCGCTTCGCAGGTCGTTGTAATTTTATCTGGTACTGTATTTCAGGCTTCAGCCCGCCCATGTTCCTGTCGACCTTCTCCAACTCGTGCATGTAGTTACATCGATCCACCAACGTCAAGAATGACGCGGTGTAGTCGGACACAGATCCCAGCTGCTTCCACATGCGTAGAGTCTCGCGCGCTTTGTCTGAGTCAGGAGCATGCTCAAACCGCTTGCGAAGCTCTACGCACCACGTTGCCCACGTGCGAATGTGGGTTGCACCAAACAGCAAATCTGCCTCGTCTTCGTCGCCGAATTCTTCGGACCACTCATGCTGTCCTTCTTTGCGAGTTGCCGCTGAGTCGACGATGACCTTCCACCACTGTAGGGCGGCCCCTTGCAGCAGTGTCAACGCGTGGCTAATCCGCTTCTGGTCGTCTCGGATGCCCGCCGCGTTAAAGTAGATATTCATGGCGAATATCCACTGCCGCACCGTCACGCCTTTATTAGCTGGGTCGAAAGGAGCGGGTTGCTGCTATCTCACGGCGCCACTTGTCGAGCGCGGGGCTGTTGCCGCTAGCCGTGCCAGCTCCACTGGTGTCGGTTGCTGCTCACCCGCCTCGCTTCGTGCATCGTCGCCCGGCTCCTCTGAACGCCGTTCCTGCGCCTGGCGAAGTCGTTGGTTTTCGTCACGGAGGTTGTTGACGACGCTTGTCAAATTGTTCAACTGCTCCATTAATGCTTGCAGGTCTACTGTTTCCCGGGCAGAGTTCGCAGCAGTCGAGGTTGTCTGTTCCTCAACCGTCGAGTCTACCGGGGCCATGGCGGTCAGGACGGGGCAGAAACTAGCGCACACGCTGTAGTTGTTCACGTAAAAATATTTACGATAAAAGGCAACTGCTGTGCAGCCGTGTTAATCCCCTCTGACCACCCTTAACTAACTAACAGGGAAAACGGAAGGTTCCGAGAAAGATCGGGCTCTGATACCAGCTGTTATGATTTAGAAGATGTCAATGTACTATAATGAGAATACAACGTCCCTATTGCCATGAAAGCACAAGGTTATATAGGAGTGGACGTAATAGGGCGATAACCTCGGGACGTGGATAGGTTCGGCAAATGTGGCGACGCTGTCGGGCGCGACTCGAGAAAGGGTTGGGCCGAAAATGTAGGCCGAACGTGATGAGTCGAAGTGTTCGGGTGTACGCGGTAGCGGGCGACTCAGTAAGGAATGGAAATTCCTTACACAACTTGTCGAAAGTTTTAGCGTGAAATGATTTTCGCGCTTTCGCATATGCAATTCGTGAATTCGCTGATGCGGCGAATTTCCGCTGTGGTTCCCCGCTTTCTGCTGGTATGTTTCTGTGCTTTCCCGCGCGTGCGAGATATGTCGGCGCTGAGGTGCCAACCTGGGCAATTTGATCGCCGTGGCGATGTGCCATTTGTGGCGACTAATCTCTTCTTGTTGGTCGCATGTACTTTTTTCTCAAAAACAACGATTCGCAAGCGCGTGCTGCATGGTCTGACACGAGGCAGCCAATACAGGGAACCTCGCCTCTAACGCGAGGTTAGTCTGACGCGAGGCTGTAGGAATGCGCCCTTAGAGAACACCGACCATATAGGAGTAAACGATATCGGACCATGAATCAGGTACACCTGGCACACACCAGTGCGAGCAGTCAGGGCGTTCAGTGCCTGTATACTGCCCTTGATGGGCATCGGGTCGGGCGAGGGAGGACCTCGCAATGTCTACAATCTTGAATTGGGGGAAGGACCTAAAGGCCTGGCAAAGAACAAGAGTGTATATGGGAGGGAGTAGAGGGAGAAACAATTGAGACACTGTTGTCAAACAGGTTGACAAACAGGACTCCATAGGTGATTGATAAGGTATTTAAGTTTAGGTAGTGAGAAGAGGGTGAGAACGAGCAACTCATCTTCACCGGTGCGTCCCTTGCCTCTAATATATCTGTTTGCCCATCTCCATCCATAGTATCTCGTCACTGATTCATATCAGGCAGGAGTGTGGGTCCAGAGCCCAGCCCAACCTCACCTTCACTTGCACATCTCTTGCTGCTTCCATGGTACATGCTGCTGTCCGCCCGTTGCCCACCCCCATCTCGCCTTCAGATGTGACCCCTTTCTTCCTCCGTCTCGGTATTTCTCTCTGCCCATGCCACCCTACACCCGTTTATCACCCCTCCCCCTTTTGTCTCAGACATGAAAGGGGGTTCAGCACCTAGCACAGACATACGCACCTCCACTTGAGCATCTCTTGCCGCCAGTGTCTCTGTGTTCCTCTCTCTGCCCACGCCATCCCCCGTGATACTCTTTTCATCATCTGCCCCCCCGTGATACTCTTTTCATCATCTGCCCCCCCCCGTGATACTCTTTGCATCATCTGCCCCCCTGTGATACTCTTTTCATCATCTGCCCCCCCGTGATACTCTTTTCATCATCTGCCCCCCCGTGATACTCTTTTCATCATCTGCCCCCCGTGATACTCTTTTCATCATCTGCCCCCCCGTGATACTCTTTTCATCATCTGCCCCCCTGTGATATTCTTTTCATCATCTGCCCCCCCGTGATACTCTTTTCATCATCTGCCCCCCCGTGATAATCTTTTCATCATCTGCCCCCCCATGATACTCTTTTCATCATCTGCCCCCCCGTGATACTCTTTTCCTCATCTGCCCCCCTGTGATACTCTTTTCATCATCTGCCCCCCCGTGATACTCTTTTCATCATCTGCCCCCCCGTGATACTCTTTCATCATCTGCCCCCCCGTGATACTCTTTTCATCATCTGCCCCCCGTGATACTCTTTTCATCATCTGCCCCCCGTGATACTCTTTTCATCATCTGCCCCCCGTGATACTCTTTTCATCATCTGCCCCCCGTGATACTCTTTTCATCATCTGCCCCCCCCCCCGTGATACTCTTTTCATCATCTGCCCCCCGTGATACTCTGTTCATCATCTGCCCCCCCGTGATACTCTTTTCATCATCTGCCCCCCCGTGATACTCTTTTCATCATCTGCCCCCCTGTGAGTATCACACATGAAAGGGCGTTCAGCACCCAACCCAAAGCTTCGCTCACCTTCACCTGGGCACTTCCCAAAGCTTGCTGCCAGTGTCTCTGTGTTCCTCTCCACCCACAGCATCCTCGTGCACATCACATCTCCCCTCATATCCATGCACCTCTTCTCACAACCCCTCCTTCCCAAGGGGAACCTAGTCCAATCTCACCTTCAATCGGGCGTGTCTTGTCTCTTCTCTCTTCCAGTGTCTCTATGTTCCTCTCCGCCCATAGCATCCTCGCCCCCCTTTTTCGAACCCACCCTTACCCCGGACCTTGTCCCCTATTTTGAACCCAAAGCCTGGCTCACCTTCACTTGGGCATTCCGTGCTTCCTGTGTCTCTGTGTTTCTCTCCGCCCACAGCATCCGCCTCCGATTCGTCACCTCTCCCTTCATATCCAGGCAGCTCTGTGCACTACCCCCATCCCTTAGAACAGGAAATCAGCCCACAACGCACCTTCACTTGGGCGTCACTTGCTGCCAGTGTCTCTGTGTTCCTCTCTGCCCACAGCATCCGCCTCCGATTCTTCACCTCTCCCTCCCCTCTCCCCCTCCCCCCCACCTCCCGCCCCCCCACCCTCCCCCTTCCTTTTCCAACCACAACGCACCTTCACTTGAGCGTCTCTTGCTGCCAGTGTCTCTGTGTTCCTCTCCGCCCACAGCATCCGCGTCCGGTTCATCACCTCGCCCCTCATATCCAGGCAGCTCTTGGCACTATCCCCGCTGGAGAACGCGTTGTTATAGTGATAAGCCGAGAACGTCATCACCATCGGCAGCCCTGAGTACCGGCTCTTAACTAAGTACTTTCGGATGGTTGAGTGTGCGTCGTAGAGGGGAGCGTAGGGGCGTGGGAACGGGGGGAGTTGCTTCTTCTTGCGGTAGTAGAGGCGAAGGTCGGAAGGAGCCTGGATAGGGGGGTGAGGGGCAAGGGTGTGGGATGCAAAGGGTTGCGAAATGCTTTGGTGAAGACAATTGGTTGGTAGGGCTGCTTGTTCACTGTGTGAATTCCAGTAGTGAGACTTGTTTTTAATACAAAGGACTGATTGAGAATAACGCAGTTGGTGTACACCATCATATGAACTTATAACCCGCTTCTGAGTGATATGGTTGCTTCAGTAAACCAGTAATCGGCACTGAAAGCAACATAGTAGATGTACGCCAAATAGACATGCAACCCGTTATAGAGTGATATGCTTACATTGATAAACCAGTGCCCGGCACTGAAGATAACGTAGTGGGTGTATGGCAGCAGCGCAGCCCAGGCTGGATCAGGCCTGTCCAGATGCACCCTCCACGCTGCTGCACTGGAGGCAGTGCCCTGGTCAAGTGGCAGGGCGTTTAGAGGAAGGTGATGATGAATGGACTTTTGAGGCGCCTCAAAAGGAGATGATGAATGGACTTTTGAGGCGCCTCAAAAGGAGATGATGAATGGACTTTTGAGGCGCCTCAAAAGGAGATGATGAATGGACTTTTGAGGCGCCTCAAAAGGAGATGATGAATGGACTTTTGAGGCGCCTCAAAAGGAGATGATGAATGGACTTTTGAGGCGCCTCAAAAGGAGATGATGAATGGACTTTTGAGGCGCCTCAAAAGGAGATGCTGAATGGACTGAGGGATGGTGAATCCCCCGGTAGCGTGAACCCTGAAGAAATGCAATGCCACAACTCATCACAGCGATTGGTCACTTTTGAGGCGCCTCAAAACTCGTCTCATGAATCGCGGTTATGAGGCGCCTCAAAAGTTGATTAAACGCCCTGCCACTACGCATCACAGAGATTGAGGTTCTAAAAGGTGGCTTGCTGACCGCAAGGCTAGGTGCCCTAGAAACTGGCGCTCACCACAGGGCTGGACCGGACTAGGAAGTTGGAGGCCGTTCTGAGGAAGGTGATGTTGAACTGGGGGATAGTGAAGCCCCGGGTTCGAATCCCAGTGCGCGCAAACTTGCCCCTCAAGTCCTGAAGTGGGATGGTGATGGGGGGAATGGGGAATGGGGAATGGGGAATGGGGAATGGGGGTTGGAGGACAGAGTGGGGGAGCGACTGAGGAGGGGGGAGATGAGATCCTGGGTTCGACTCCCTGTGCAGGCGTTTAAGTCCGTGTGTTGGCATCTCGCCAAGTCAGGCTCTGCAGCCAGGCGGTTATCGAAGGTGAAGAAGGGGGTGAGTGCGAGTAGGTGGTAACAAGGACCGGGAGTGAGTCACGAAGGATACCTGAGTTACAGCTCTCGTCTCCAGCAAGCAGCACATGGAGATATAGCGGGGGTGGAGGGGCGGGGCAGAGTAGTCACCTTACTAGCAGCCGTCGTCTCCAGCAAGCATTGAGTGCACTTAGTGCGTTGCTCGCACACCAGCAGAAAGTGTGCGTACCTTAGTAGCAGCCCTCGTCTCCAGCAGGCAGCGCATGGAGATCTCGAGGTTGTTGGCGAATGAGTCGCCGACGAACATGAACACCTTATGGCGCATAAGGGGGAGCAGTCTAGCGGGATTGAATCTGAGAGCGGTTGGAGGGGCGGAGGAAGGGGGGAGGCATTGAGGGAAATGAAGGAGGATGGTGTGAGTGAGATCATTTTTGAGGCGCGCCTCAAAAGTCATTTTTGAGGCGCCTCAAAAGTCATTTTTGAGGCGCCTCAAAAGGGGGGATGCATTGAGGGAAATGAAGGAAGATGGTGTGAGTGAGATCATTCACGCATGGTTGACATATCTGGCATCCTTCCACCGTTTGCGCCAACTATTCGGATAGCTGGAAATTACACAATTGGGTACTTATAACGAGGAAAGTCTGACCTCTTTATATCGCAGCCAGGGCTCCTCCACACATATTTCAGGTACCGGGGGATCCTTCCTCATGTTACACTGGCACAGATAGTCACGGGGTAACTCATAACGAGGCGGGGGCACACCTTCTTATATCGCAGCCAGGGCTCCGCCACGCGTACTTTAGGTACCCAGTGTCCTTCCTCCCGTTGCGCTGGCAGTTGTAGTAGGACCGGATGCTCTTGCACGTGTACCCGTTATAAGCAGGCTCGTAAGCCCCATGATACACCCAACTGCGGTGACAGATTTATCAAGATAGGTGGAAAGGTGAAGGGTCAGGTGAAAGGTCAGGTGAAGGGTCAGATGAAGGGGTGAAAGGTCAGGTGAAGGGTCGGGTGAAAGGAAAGGTGACGGGGAACAAGAAGAGGAGGAGGGGAGGGGGGGGGAGGGGAAAGGGGGATCGACCTGGGGGGAAGCTTCGAGCACGAGTTTGGAGTGCTTCAAGTCTCATATTTGAGGATAAGGATTAGAGAAACATAGAATGTAGGGAGGGAGACAATGAGGTAGCAATACGGGAGAGAGAGAGGGAGAGAGAGAGGGAGGGAGAGAGGGAGGGAGAGAGGGAGGGAGTGAGGGAGGGAGAGAGGGAGTAAATGCCTTTAAAAAGGCGTTTTTCCATGATTCATAGTTCTTTGATAAATGAATGCCTTGATAGAGGTAAGTCCATAGTGAAGCTGACCTTCCTTGGTCGATTCTACATTGCTGACACGTGGCAGGAACAGATTGGCCGAGAAGGAGCACCAGTGACAACAGCAACGCTGCCGAGAGTGCGGCCGGCGGTTTCTGAAGAACCTTCATTTCCGCTGCCGTTTCGTGGGGTCTGTAGCGTGCGGCCATGGCTGCCGATGGGAGGCTGATTCCTCCGCTGACCACACTGCCGTGCGCCTGATCTATCTAGAGCCTGTTTTGCCCGTTCTGACTACGCGCCTGATCTGCCACGTCACTAAAGCGCTTCTCTCGTACGCGTTATGGCGGGTCACCAACAAAATGACAGATACTTCCTCTCGAATGGTAAGCGCAACGATCAGATGAATGCCTCTGCTGCACCGAAGCCAAAATGCCGATCTTAGAGGGGCCTCGAAAGTAGACCCCTGAACGAAAGTAGTCCCCTGAACGACTACTGATTACCCCTCGGCTTCCTCAAGCAGATAGTTGATGTCGGGATAGCGCAACCAGACTCCTTGCGATAGAAGTTGAGACGACTCAAAGCTACAATTGTATCACACTGATTACCCCTCGGCTTCCCGAAGCAGACAGTTTATCACGATCAGCATAAACAGTAGATGTCGGAATAGCGCAACCAGATTTCTTCAGTACGCGACCTCGGGAATATAAGGGGTGGTGGGGGGGGGCGGAAGGGAGAGGGAACTACGTAAAATTGCGTCGAAAGTAGCATCGAGAGCTACCCTACGCGGGAAGAACTCCTTGCGGGTAGCAGGATGAGAAGACAAATGACTCTCTGGCCAATACTTCGCACTTTCGACGCTAAGTGGAGAAGAAAAGGGCGTTTGAATCGACTAAAAAGGAAAAAACACGCCCTTCTTGACATCCTCCGACGAATCTTCGATCACACGCCCTGTTACTAGCCCCTGCCCAACTCCTTATTCCTATCTTCCGTATCGACGAGCACCAGATAATATGGAGAACCAGAAGCATGCTGCTGGAAATACTCGCACTCGCGTGTTTTTTTCTGGCCCGATTTCTTGCAAGTCGTGATTCGTGAACAGTGTCGGTGCTGGCGCGTTTCCTCGGGAACTGCGAAGATTTGGCCTGGTTTTGCAACCCTGAGTTTCGCGGGTCTTCCAACGGTCAACTTCAGATGCTGACCTGGAGGCAACAATGTGCGGTTCGGGCGGGAGCGGTGCCGGCTTGGCGAGCTGAGATTGGTAATCTCGCCAGATCGCTAACGACGTGTTTCGCCAAGCGTTACCAGTCACGGACGAGAAGCGTGGAGGGACATCGGGTTTTGTGAACCGCACCGACACCGACAGCACCCAAGCAAACGACCAGGCAAGACGTGGGGCAAGCTTCCAATCCAACCCAACAATGAATAGAGTTACAACTACAACGCGTACAGCCTTGTAGCGGTGATGCAAGTACACTTCACAGCAAAAGAGAGTCAAACAAATCGTTCAGCTACCGAATGCAAAAGTATAAACGAAATGTAGAGTCCTGTACATGCAAGGCACTAATATACAACACCGGTTTCAAGCGCTCACTCTTCACTCAACTCCTGGGCATCCCATTTTAGCTCCCACGAAGCCGACTTCACCATTTGCTGCGTCCCTTCCATTTGCTTCAACTCCTTTCCACTTAAAAGCGGCCCAACAACAACCTGCTCCTCCGATTGATCACCTTCGCCCTGCCTTCCAATACTCGAAGCCCTACCTCTTAAATCCCGAGTTGGCGTGTGAACAGTATTCTGCATTGCCCGCATCTTCTCCCCCTCCGCATCTGTGAGCACTCCCTCCACCTGCACTTCCTCCCTCTTCCCCAGCCCCCCCTCTCCTTTCTCCGCTTGTCGCCTTATCCCCATCCGCCTCGCCCGTTCCCGAAGCTGCTCAGCAGCTTCGGCAGCAGGGGAGGGAGGAGCAGCCGAGAGGTCGAGACGAGGGGGGGGAGTACGGCAAGCAGAGGCAGCACCACCGGCAGCGGCCGGCGCAGGAGCGGGAGGAGAAAGAAAAGGAAGCTTCAGTAGAGGTCTTGCAGATTTCTTACCCGCAGAGCTCCCAGGGTGCGGAGGTGAGATTGGTGAAGGTGACACAAGGGAGGGTGCGACAGGGGCAGGTGAGACTGGGGACGGTGGAGGGCTGTGTGGAAGCTCTCCCCCCTTGCCCCTGTTGCCACCTATTCTCCTCGGCGGGGACAACAGAATCTCCGTCTCTTCCTCCCTGCCCCCTTCACCCTGCCCCTCCCCACCCTCCACTCCCCCCTCCTCCTTCCTCACTGCAGAAGCTGGACCCCCAATCAGGACCCCTTTCCCTTTTGCCTTGTGCTGCCTCTCCACTTCCTCCCAATCAGGAGCGATCATTTTCAAACCTTGGTTCCTCTTGTCTCGCCTCTCCTGCTCCTCCTCCTCCTTCCCTTCCCTACCTCCTCCTGCTCCTCCGACCTCTGTATCTGGATTCACCGATGCGATCCCAAGGCGATGCAACTCATGCTCAACCGGGCCTTCCTCCCCAGTATGCTTATACCGAAGGGACATGTCACTGTCACTGCTGTGAGGGAGGGGTGCTGCGGCTAAATCCAGGGGACTGAGTTCAGCAGCAGCAGGAGGAGGCGGCAGTGGGTGCGAGAGGATCGCAGCCTGCCTCATCCCCGTTAGAGGCTGCTCCGTTACAGGCACTGCAGGCATCCCGTGGTGTAGCAGCAAAGTGTCGCTCGGGAGGCTTGCAGTGCGCTTTGGCTGCACGCGGCTTGGAGAAGCGTCCACTGGAGGGCCTGAGAAGAAGGCATGGAAGGCATGGGGTGTCACGAAGGGAGAAGAAAGGTGAGGAAAACGAACTGTGGGGGGGTGTCCCTAGAAAGGCTGGCAGCGCGCTTTGGCTGCACGCGGGCTGGATGAGCGTTCACTGTAGGGCCGGAGAAGAAGGCATGGGATTCAGCGCACGGAGGGCAATAAATGCAAGGAACGAACAAGGGGGGTTGAACTTCCAGCTTAGGCGGGTGGAAGGAAGCTTAGGCTTAAGCTTTCTTCCACCCCTCACCTCAGCAAAGAGCCCTCAGTGCTTCAAACATAACTCCACTGTCTCCCCTCGAGTGGGCGGCCAGAGCGCATTCCGCAGCGCCTCCTTCATTTGCCTCAGCGTCAACACCCCCGTCGACCGTTGAGCGATAGGTCCACGGGCTCGAGTATCGAAACATACCTTGAGACACGGGCCCCCGGGCTTGAGTATCGAAACATACCGTGAGACACGGGCCCGCGGGCTCGAGTGGGCGGCCACAGCGCATTCCGCAGCGCCTCCTTCATCCGCCTCAGCGTCATCACTCCCGACGACCCTCCCTTCCTCCCAGCCCTCTCCTCTTCTCCCTTCACCACTCCGATCGCTCCTCCCTCCTTCCCTTCCTTCCCTTCTCCACCAGCCTCCTCTCCCTCCAAGCCTTCATCCGCTCCTGCTTCGTCCTCTTTATGAGCTCCCGCCTTCTTAACCCGATATTGGACAGTTACGCCTTCTCTTCTCTCCAATTCAGCCGCGAGTGGTTCACCCCTCTCCTCTCCCGCCACCTCGTCTTCCTCTCCCGCCCTCCGCTCCCCTCCCACCGCTCCCCTCCTGCCCCGTTCCCCCTTCCCAAAATCAACGGCCCCGATCTCGCTCAGCTTCTCGACATCAACGGCCCCGATCTCGCTCTCACTCTCCCCGCTAGCGCTCCTCGTCTCAAGCCCAGACTCGCGCGAGTCACGCGCCTTCCACCTGAATAAGGAACGCGGAAGCAGCAGCCCGCCGCCATACCTCTTTTTCGACGGAGACGAAAGCGCATAATCCTCCTTCTCAAGCTCGGAACTGCTGCTACTCGCGGCTGTGGCAACGTCTTTCTCAGACGATCCTGGAGAATGAAACGCAGGGTAAAGCTCTGCGGAATCGACCGCCGCCGCTGGATTCTTGGAAATAGGCCCCTGCCGCAGGTGGGACAGTTCCTCGTCAGGGGCTTGCTCAGGTGGTTGCTCAGGTGGTTGCTCAGGTGGTTGCTCAGGTGGTTCTGCCCCCGGCCAAAGGTACTCCTTGGGTGTCATGGGGACACCCTTCTTGAAGAAAATCTGCCGCAGATCGCGCGGGCTTTCCGACGGCGACTGCTGCGTCGGAGACGACTCGGACGCCATCCTCAACACTCCAACACTCAACACCAACTCTAAATTGATAACGGTTAGAACGAGTTGTTCGATGGGTCAACCTAGGATTCGGCGTTCCAACTACGAGTTAGTAGATCCTAGTATCCGAGTCTAAAGACGCAGCATACCCAGCTCGAGGGGTTTGTTGATTCGACTGGAAAATGATTCCGTCGAGATAACGACTATGTCATCGGGAATCAACCCTAGTGCCGCCGAGATTCAACGCGCTCTGATCGCCCACGATGGCTGTCTGTCCGGCGATTTGACACACTATGTCTGCCCGGCGATTTGACATACTATGTCTGTCCGGCGGGAGCCTGAGATAGTAGCTCAGGCTCCCGCCGGGCGTGGAAGGGGGAAAAACAATACATCTGCCCGTGATTTCTGAGAAACAGCTGGATTCGGCTGGCGACGCGGACTCGTAAGCAGCTGCCGCAAGAGGTGACAGCACGCCCGCAGGTGTAACACGGGGGTTGCAGCTTCGCTGTGCTCCAAACCCCGTATATATTAACCAATCAAAGAAAGACAAGAACTCGCACAGCACGCTGCTGCCACCGTGCAAGAACTGGGACGAACCCCATGATCTGAGGCTTGTGTCTCTATCGCGATCCTGCGGTTCTGCTCCAATGTCTGTACCCAACGTTCTCAGAGCCGTCCCAGCCTCAGCCATGGCGCCAAGGTGCATTCGTGCGTGCATGCCGAGTTTTGCGAGCTGGTTTGAGTCAACTCGTAACTCATGCCTAGCTCGGCAGCCATTCCCACCGTCGAGTTTGGGCATGAGCTTTTTGGGTGTTGATTGAATTTTGTAAGGGGCCGCGCAGTGAACCCGAGCCAGCTCAACAAACCAACGGGGATGAAAGGTGTCGAGCCGCATGCATGGTATTCCGAGGCGCATTTCTGACGCAGATCGGATTTTGTCATGAACGGTGGTGTAATTTCGAACACGTGTTGAGCAGTCCGCAGTTACCGTTTCGATCTAGGCAGCTTGCGTATCCGTTACTGGCTACATTGCTCGAACACCGAGAGTGACTACCTCTGGCAGCACAACTAGACAGAGGCTGGTACGAGTAGCTATAGTATCACATGCAATGTACATGGTAGGACAATACAAGCGAACATGCAATAAGGTCCGTAACGTCTAGGAAAATGGCTCTATTTTGTAACTGGCATTAGGAAGCTGACGTACGGCACTATCAACAAAGAATTCTCCCTCGAATGCAAAATTTTTGTACGTATTGTCTTCAGTGACCGCCAGCACCATGTGCAGCCTCTTGTGGTTCCTCCGGTACACCCAATATTCGACGCGTCGCCTCAGCTCTGAAATGAAGAAATCCGAGGAAAACGTTTCAGCCACCTGGTCAGTTACTGTGCCATATTATGCAAGCACCCAACAGCTAATGGGCATCCATGCATCCATCCCATAACATCACACTGGAGCAGACACAGACAAGGAACATGACTTGCAGAGACAGTCTAAGAACCCTCTACGCCCTCATCCCCATCCCCAGACCTTCAATTGAAACACAACTAGTCGTAAACCGATTAGATTGGCCCATTCCTCCACATCATATAAAAACATGTAACTCAAGGCCACATACCTGGCTGAGGCCCCCAGCACACCCACAAGCTTCCTCCCCACTCGGCCCTTGCGCGCTCCTTGCAGGACCGCAAACACTTATGAATCGACTCAAAAGCCACACTTGCCACATTTCAACAAGCCCTAAACTCACTGGCATGTAGCTCGGATGGCTGATGCATCCAGCACGCCCACCAGCTTCCGCCCTCGGTCCTGCCACCGCTTGCCGGACCGCGACACCACAGGCAGCACCACCAGGTTCCTCGGCAGCATTAGGTGGCGGGCGGCACGCAGCGTCTGGTCTGGGAAGCACACCACGAGGTCAGAGTCTCCGTGTGCTGTCTTGCCGGTGCACACTGCTCCCACCAGCATCTCATGCACCTGGGGTGACGACAGGAGGAGAGAGGGGAAGAGGGGTAGGGTAGGGTTAGCAACACCAACACACCACGAGGTCAGAACCTCCCTGGGCTGGCTTGCCGGTGCACACTGCTCCCACCAGCATCTCATGCACCTGGGGTGGACAAGAGTGGAAGGGGAAGAGTATGCAGAGCGGTTTGTGACAGACCAGGCTTGCACTGGAGGGACAGCAGACATGACGAAGTGAGAGTGTGTATGGAGTTGAGGGAGAAACAATAATTACTCGTGTGCACGGCTCACCTCCTGCACCATAAGGGCCAGCCCAGGGCCAGGAACAGACGCTCTGTGTGATAGCGCCCTGCCCACCCCTGTGTGGAAAGCCAGAGCTGACAGTGCGTGGACAAAATGATGATGGGAGAAGGCTCACCTCCAGGCCCACAGGAGCCAGCTCAGAGCCAGCAACAGACGCTCTGTGCGATAACGTCCGGTCCAACCCTCCCACAGGCATGAGCCCCACAGATACTGCCGACCCTCTATGACTCCCTCCCCCTCCTCCTCCCCCTCCTCCCGCTCCTCCCAAACCACCAGCCATCCCAGCCGCAAGCGACCCCCTCACACTCCCTGCCGAGCCTCCAGGTCCGGTGATCGCCGAGCCTCGGTGGCTGGCTGTGCCTGCAGCGCTGATGATGGAGGATCGGCGAAGCTCCCGGTGCACGTCGGCCAGAGAGAGCGTGCCTTCCAGCAGCCCCTCTGCATCCACCACCATCGCACAGTCGGAGCGGCCTTCTAGTAGCGCTAGGACTGCCTCCCTGACTGTGGCGTCTGCTCTGACTGACACGAAGGTGGTGCTCATAGCAGCAGCAACCTGAGGGGATGGGGTGTTTAGAACGGGGTCGGCGTGGGGGTGGGGTTGGGGGGAGAATAGATGTCAGCCAGAGAGAGGGGGAGGGAGAGCGTGCCTTCCAGCAGCCCCTCTGCATCCACCACCATGGCACAGTCCGAGCGGCCTTCTAGTAGCGCTAGGACTGCCTCCCTGACTGTGGCGTCTGCTCTGACTGACACGAAGGTGGTGCTCATAGCAGCAGCGACCTGAGGGTGGGAGATGGGGGAATGAGAACAGGGGAAGAGGGAAGAGGGGAGCGGGCGTTTGGAAAAGGGCACAGCATCCACCACCATGGCACAGTCGGAGCGCCACTCTAGGAGAGCTAGGACTGCCTCTCGGACGGTGGTGTCTGCTCGCACGGAGACAAGGTGGTGCTAATCGCAGCAGCGACCTGAGGGGATGGGGTGTGCGTGCGGTGAGGAGAAAGTAGGGTGGTACGAACCAAATGACAGTACCAAATGTAGAACCAAATGTCAGCCAGAGAGGGAGGGAGAGCGTGCCTTCCAGCAGCCCCTCTGCATCCACCACCATCCCCCATCCCCCATCCATAATCCCGCATCCCCCATCCCCCATCACCCATCCCCTATCCCACATCCCCCATCCCCCATCACCCATCCCCTATCCCGCATCCCCCATCCCCCATCCCCTATCCCGCATCCCCCATCCCCCATCCCCCATCCCCCATCCCCTATCCCGCATCCCCCATCTCGCATCGCATCCCCCATCCCGCATGCTCACCTTGAGTTCGTCCAGCAGTCTGTCGACGCTCAGAGCCGCCTCCACCCCTCCAGCAAACCCCTCAACCGCACACAACTCCACATCCTCCGCCCCACTGCCCCCCGTGCTGCTGCTCCCGCGGTGCCACGAGATCGACGACGAAGCCCTCAACTGCGTGGGCGACAGCGGAGGCCCGGTGAAATGCGTCGAGTGGTCGTGCAAATGCGACAAGTTGTGATGAGTGTTTATGTGCAGGGGGGGGGAGTGGCCGTTGATGGCTGTGCCCAGGGGCGAGTAGAGTGTGAGGGCAGAGTCGCTGTGGCTGCCAGCAGCAAAGGCTGCAGCTGAGCCGGGGGCGAGCTTGGAGTGGGGAAGAACGGCCTTCTTGCGATTGGCCACTGATGAGACCCAGTAGGCCAGGCCCACTGCGCCCTGTGAAGGGGAGAGGAAGAAGATACGCAGATAGACAAGGTTGAGTTGGACGTTGAGGTGGCCACAGACCCACTGCGCCCTGTGAAGGGGAGAGGGGGAAGATATGGCACGCAGCCAAGGGTGAGTGGGAGGTTGAGTGCAGCTTAGCGTTGGGGAGGACAATCTTTTTACGTCTGGCCACTGATGGTCACTGATGGCCACTGATGGGACCCAACCCAGCACGGATGTGAGTTCTGAGAAGCGGTAGTCCTTAGAGAGTTCCAAGAGCAGCAGGCTAGCAGCACGGGTGTGAGTTCTGAGACAGACAGCATGGAAGGAAACAGGGCTCGTACCATGAGCGGCAGCAGGATGCGGTAGATTCTGGTTAGTTCAAATAGCAGCAGAGATAGATCCGTACAATATGGGGCAGCAGGATGCAGCAGTCCTTGGTCAATTCGAAGAGCAGCAGCACGGAGAAGGCGAGTAGGGAATCAAGTCAGGCAGCAGGGACAGAACCATACCAGTCGGTAGAGACATGGTGCGTACCATGAGGGGCAGCAGGATGCGGTAATCCTTGGTCAATTCGAAGAGCAGCAGCACGGATGTGAGCGGTACAGAGCACACTGACGCCAGCATAGCCGCCATGCCCACCTGGTGGCAAGAGCACGAAGGGACAATGCGCAAGAGCACAAGGGGTGAAGGGGCAAGGGCAAGAGATGAGCAGCAGCACAGGTGTGAGCGGTACAGAGCACACTGACGCCAGCATAGCCGCCATGCCCACTTGGTAGAGGGGGATATCTGAACGAGGGGGAGATGAAGCGGGCATGACAGGGGGGATGACAGGGGGGATGACAGGGGGGATGACAGGGGGGATGACAGGGGGGATGACAGGGGGGATGACAGGGGGGATGACAGGGGGGATGACAGGGGGGATGACAGGGGGGATGACAGGGGGGATGACAGGGGGGATGACAGGGGGGATGACAGGGGGGATGACAGGGGGGATGACAGGGGAACGAGGGAAGGTTAAAGGCCTCAAGATTAGCATGCTCCATCACTCCAAATACGAAGATTCCAACATCCCATAAGCACGTTTCAGTACCCCAACACAAGCAGGCTCCAAAACAGATACGTTCCATCCTCAACTCACCAGAGCATATGCCTGTGGAGCAGCAACCTCAGCCTTCCCAGGAATAGCCGCCTGTATCGCCGCACCAGCCAGCGACCCATACACTGAGCCTACCGCCGAACCTATGAACAGGCTCGGCGCGTAGATCCCCCCAACCAGGCCTGAGCCTCTGCAGAGTGCGGTGGCAACGATCTTGGCTGCGATAAGCTGAGTCATCAGCTTCGGACCGGGGGCGGATGCACTCTCTCTCGAGTGCAGAATCTCATTCACGTTACTAAAACCCCAGTATAAGACACCTGGGTACTGTAGCGCAATAAACCCCACGCACAGGCCGCCCAATGCCGGCGTGACAGCTGGCGGGATGCCGAGGCGGTCCCGGAGGAAGTCAAAGAAGGCTGTAGACCATTTAATCAATCGGGTAAATATCACTGAAATAACCCCGCAGACCATCCCCAGCAGCAGGTACAGCGGCAGCTCTGCTGCGGATTTTAGCTCGTATTCGGGTACAGTAAACGCCGGCTCTTCACCGAGAACGACATTAGACACTGTTGAGGAGAGCACTGAAGCGAGGATGATCATAGCAGTGGTGAGAGGGGGAGCGTTTTCAGAAGCCACTGACTGGAGCACCGTCTCAATGGCGAAGAAGCACCCAGCTACTGCCGCATTGAAACCAGACGAAATACCCGCCGCAGCACCAGCAGCCACCAGAGCTGTCTTCCTCTCGTGAGTATTCATAAGAATCTCGGCCATTCCATCCGCCCAGGCTTTTCCAATGTCCACACTTGGACCCTCAGGCCCCAGGGAAGAGCCCGTGCCTAGGGTTACTGCTGCTTGAATGGCCCGAATTACGGGTGTAAAAGCTGCTCCCCAGTCTATACCCCTCTGCTGCTCCAGCCGTAGGGTTGACCCCCGGTTCTGGCCCTGGTTTTGGGATGAGCTTTGGCTCTGTTCTATGATGCCGCCGAGTGCGTGCAGCATGCCTACAACGACTCCGCCCATAACGGGGATGAGCATGATGCGGTGCCAAGTGGTGGTGATGGGTTGCACGCGCAGCCAGGCTGCTCCTTCTGCTGGTGTGCCTGCCCATGCGAGGTTGTGTATTCCGTGAACCTGGACAGGGTGGGGGAGAAGAAGGGTTGGAAGATGAACGGCAATGAGGGAGATGGGCGGATTTGAGGGGTTGTGAGGTTGCGGAATCCGTGAATCTGGACGGTTTTCAGCGGGAGGAGAAGGGTTGGAAGGTGAAGGGTAATAAGACAGAAAATGAGAGGCAGATAGTTGGCGGATCAAGAGAGCAAGCAACTGATGACAAGGGAAGGGGAAGTTTAGTTTTGAGGCGCCTCAAAACTGGCAAGGGAAGGGGAAGTTTAGTTTTGAGGCGCCTCAAAACTGGCAAGGGAAGGGGAAGGGAGGGAACGTAAGGGAAGATGGGATGGAGAAAGCGAAAGGCGAATATTGATGGAAAACGAGTGTGACAGTACAACAACAGGTAAGTGACAAAAGGAGTTCGAATAAATCCCAAAAGTGGTTTCAAGTGGTTCGGACTGAACTGTAAACATGAACGACTTGAAATACGCGTTCAAAGACCACGTACGGTAAACGAGACGCTACGTGATCTCGACCTGAACCTAGGGCTGCACAGCACGTAGTTTGTAAAGATAACGAGGTGCTGTACAGCGAGTCCAACGAGAACGCGGAAGTATGAAAAAGCTCCGGATATCAAGGCTCCGGATATCACGGCACATGAGCGCCGGGTAGCGTTACAAAGCAATCCATAGATTCGTGACACAGATTCGCATAGGCGTGATGACGAAAACCTACCACCAACTGCAAGAGCACAACCCACCGCCAAGTTAAAGAGGACGACGCTAGCGCCAGTCGCGAGGCCGAGAGCACACCCCAGCAGCAGCACGGCCCACTCCGGCGGAACCCTCTCGCTGAAACTCCGCGGGGACACCAGCGCCGTGGGGGACGCGGGGGAAATCATCACCCCGGCGTCGATCTTATCCGCAGCCAGTTCCACGTCACCGCCAGCAGCCAATGGGGAGTCGCCATTCCCCCCCGCGCCGTTTCGCAGAAGCGGACGGTAGTCGTTGGCGCTCATCCTGCGGGTTACCGCCGTCGCCAGGGCCGCGGTTCAGACGCGAGTTCGCCGTCGCGTTCAAGATCGACGGTTGAGATTCTTCCGATCCTCCGACGAAAGCATGTGCAGACCAGTAATGTAAAACTATGAGGTACGGTGAAGCTTAGACAAAGCTCTAGCTAAGGTGTAGAGATGTTACCTAGGTTAGTTAGCTTACGTATGCTATCAGATGACACGGTTAGAATGACTCGCTACAGGCATACGCATAACGAGCTCCTGATGTTGATCTAGGTCTAATACGCGAAAGATCTGGATGACGTATCGTACGGTCATGTTACGGACATATGGTAACTGCGACCTTTCGTGAAAACGACTCCAGACAAGACCTAACCGCTAACGCCAGCAGCGAAGCTATGGTTCTAACCCGACGCGACGTGAAAGCGAAAGGGTTGTTACAAGCCGTAAATCCCGAAGACACAACAAGACGCGAATCCACAGCACGGGAAGAGCACGTTACGGGATAGGAAGAGCGACGCTCCCCGACACGCTCCAAGTCCTCTAAGTCGTGCCGGCAACTTCCTCGCAGTTTTTTTGCTAAGCTCGTCTCCCTGGAGTTCCTACCGTTCGCTGTGGCTACCGAAGGCTGGGACCCGCGGAAGGAGAAGCAAGCTACGAACGGAATCTGATGGAGTGAGGAATCCTCTACTGCAGCAAATCCCTTTAGGTGCAGTCCTGTAAAACCATAAGGCACACAAGTGAGCAGAGGGAATTTCCAAAACTGGGGCCTGCTGACAAAAAGCCTGAAAATGGTAGAGCAGGGGGAGTATGGCACGGGATCGTGCGCCGAGATTGGTGGGGGACCAACCAACCATTGAGGTGATTCTATTGGGCAGAAACCGAAGTCTGGAGGGTGGTGCTTCCACGAGGGGAAGTTCAAGGTTGCGGCAACTTTCAGGTGGCGAGGCGACACGACGGAATCCAACCAAACGGCTTGAAGGACGAGCGCCGTTGAGCCGTCCGTTCGGGCCACTCTGGAACCTTTGCTTCGTGATCCAACGGCGCTAAATGCCGGCTTCAGATGGTAGTTCCTGGGAATGGCGAAGCGACAAGAGACTCGTTAGGTGATGGAGAGAAGTGATTGAGGCAGTAGAAGCATGTTCGTAACGAGTCAGTCCGGTTGCGGGAGATTGCGCTGTTCTTCAGGCCACCGATAAGGTTGACAATGAGCAAAAATAGATGGGGTGTAGACTTGAAAATAAACCCACATCCAAATGAGCAAATATTGATTGCGATAATCCTCATAAAGCATTTCTAGAGCACAAGGCGGATGTTTCCCCTATAACATTTCATCTTTTGGACCTCCAAATGGATTACTTGACCTAGTTGAGGAACAAGATCTCGCAAGTACTGGCTCCCCGTCCCCCCCAGTCCCACTACACTCCACACCCCACGACGACCCCCCGTGCTCCTCGCTCTCAGACGAAGTGGGTGAACTGGGCGGCGAAATTCGGCTCATCACAAACTCCTCCATGCTTCTTCGGCAATCGTTTCCTGCAATACCTGTACCCAGCCCCTGCTGCCCCTGCTGCCCCTGCTGCTGCTGCTGGTGCTGCTGTCTTGGCTGCTGCTGCTGCCCCTGCCAGTGCTGCCACTGCAACCACTGCTGACCCTGTTGCTGCTGGTTGGGGAAGGAACCAGGCACAGCACCACCACTCTCCATCCACCTCTCATGCCGATAATCCCTCATTCCCATCACCCCACACTCCATCTGGTCACTCCGCCTGCCACTTCCCTCCTCTCTCTCCACTCCTCCTTCCCTTATTGCCTCTGGAAGCTTCCTTTCTGGCATCCCTACTTGCCAGCTTGCACTATGATAGGCAGGAACACCTGCAAGTGCCATAGAACTACCAGCGCCAGCACCAGCACCAGCCGCAGCAGCAGCAGCAACACCACCAGCAGCAGCACCACCAACACCAGTACCATCAGCACCAGAAGCAGCAGCAGCACCAGCAGCAGCAGCACCAGCAGCAGCAGCAGCACCAGAAGCAGCGGCAGCAGGGTCGCTAAGGCCTGAGGAGCTCTGAGTGCGGATCATCTGAGACCGCAGCAGCGCTGCTCTCCTCAGGTTCTTTGCCGTACTCGGGTCATTAGGAGACGTCGGAAGCCGCCCATCCATCTGGTCATGCAAAAACCTTCCCTGCGCTGCCCGGGTTATGATACTGCCCGGACTCCTGCCCAGGAAATTCGCCGGGATCCTAACCATGCTGGAGATCCCAGCAGCTACGGGAGGTTCCCACCCGGGCAACGACGAGGGAAAACTCTGACCTGCCCGTAAAAGGCTGCTGATGCTGCCGCCACCGGTGGTATTGTTGCTGCTGTTGACAGCATAAGTGAACTGAGTGCGAGGAGGGGAGCGGGGGCTTGGGGAACGATTGCGGCGATCAGAGGAACCAGGCCCAGGAGAGATGGTTCTTCTCTCACCCCCCATGCCGTGCACAAAGAATGGAGCCGAGGGAGGGATGAAGGCGACCGAGGGAGGAAGGGAGGGGGAGGAGCTGCCTAGGGGAGGGCGATTTGGCCAGGTGGCACCTGAGCCGGTTGCTGTGGGTCCAGCTGCTGCTACTCGTGCAGCCATTGGCCCTGCGGCTGCGGCTGGTAATAGTGCTGCTACTGCTGCTGCTGCTGCTGCTGCTGCACCCCTTGCTTCCGCTGCTGAAGGACCTGCTCCTGTCACTGAGGCTCGTGCTTCTATTGCCCCGACACTAGTCCCTGCTCCTGATGCTGATGCTGATGCTGATGCGGGAAAGAGGGGGGACGTGACACAAGCGGCGGCAGCAGCAGCGGCAGCAGCAGCAGCAGCAGCAGTCCTCCACTCCACGCTCTCCTCACTGTCCTCCGAGAGGGACTCAGCTGGAGAAGACATGCCCTCGCTGCGATCACAGAGACAATGGGCGACAAGAGAGGGAAAGCTGTAAGGCGGCAGAGCAAGAAGTGGCGACACCAGCAGCAGCAACAGCAGCAGTCCTCCACTCCACACTCTCCTCACTGTCCTCTGAGAGGGACTCAGCCGGAGAAGACATGCCCTCGCTGCGATCACAGAGGAAACATGCGGTAATGAAAATGAATAGAGGGGAAAATGAAGACGAATAAGCGGTGTAGGGAAGACAGTAGTGCAAGTGGAGGCAGCAGCAGCCGCAGCCCTCGATCCCACTCTCTCCTCACTGTCCTCTGAGAGGGAATCAGCTGGAGAAGACATGCCCTCGCTGCGATCATAGAGGAAAAATCATAAGGAAATAGAGGGGATGCTGGAGAGTTATACGGGGGGTAGGGGATGCTGGAGAGTTATACGGGGGGCAAGGGATGCGGTAGTGCTGCAAATAGAGGCAGCAGAAGTAGCAGCAGCAGTCCTCCATTCCACACTCTCCTCACTGTCCTCTGAGAGGGACTCAGCTGGGGATGACATGCCCTCGCTATAAGCACAAGAGATGAGGTAGTAGATACAAAGGAGAATCATTTTTTACAGTGGCGTAACAACCAGAGAAGAGCGATGCGTGATTCAAACGAAGGTATGTGATGGAAGCACTCACTGCATAGCGACTGATGTGAAGTACTTTAGTTTTGAGACGCCTCAGAACTAAACTACTCAACCAGAGAAGAGCCATGCGTGATTCAAACGGAGGCATGTCACGGAAACACTCACTGCATTGCAACCGATGTGCGCTTAGTCATTGGCAATGGAATCGAGACCATAAAGTGGTGTGCATATTTGGACATTACAAGCATACAACACAGGCTGCTTACTTGTGGCTGGCAAAGGGAGAGGCGGATCGGGCACTGCCAGTTTGAGTCGTCTCAGTCACCCCAGGTGACGGCAACAGAGCCTCAGGTGGAACCTGCAGCCCTGCAAAGGCGCTGGGACCACCTGGTGAACCACCTGAGAAACCACCTGAAACAGCAGAAGCAGGAAAGGCGCTGGTGAGGGGGGCTGCACACCCTGCACCCACTCGAATGCTAGGCGCCCCTAATGCTAGCACTGCTGGTGATAGGGGTAATGCTCCTGCTGCTGTTGCTGCTGCTGCTCCTCCTCCTGCCCCTCCTGCCCATGCTCCTGCTGCTGGCGGTGGCGATGACAATGATCCTCCTCTTCCTCCTCCTCCTGCTGCTGCTCTGGCTACTCCTGCCTGGGCGGTTGGGATGTGCATGTGCGTGTCTTCCACCCTCAAGTTGGTGAGGCTCGTGGCTATTAGCTGAAGAAGGCAGGGAGGAAAAGGGAAGTGGGGAGGATGGTGAGGGCGGGAGGTGGAGAGAAGAAGCATGCGCATGGGCGCAGGGAGAAGATGATGTGTGCATGATGTGTGCATGATGTGATGTGTGCATGATGTGTGCATGGGCGCCTGGATCAGGTGATGTGTGCATGAGGAGCAGCGGTGGCAGTGGTGCCTTCCACCCTCAAGTTGGTCAGGCTCTTGGCAATCCCCTGGGAAGGAGAAGGGAGATGAAGGGTGTGGGGAGGAAGAGGAGAGGGAGGGACTGGTACGGGATAAAGCGTCCACGGAAGCGGGAGCGAGAGGGAGGGCCGCTGATCGGGATAAAGCGCACACGGAAGCGGGAGAGAGAGGGAGGGCCGCTGCAGCAGTTGATATAGGAGAAGGGAGATGAAGGGAGGGTGGGGGGATGAGAGAGGGCGAGCGGGGGGGGGGGCGGGGGAAGAGGACTAGAACAGGATAAAGTGTACACGGAAGGGAGCGGGAGAGAGAGGGAGAGCCACTGCAGCAGTTAGTATAGGAGGAGCCTGCAGAGAATATCCTGCTGCACCAGCCCATCCTCCCTAGTGACAACCCACATACCCGCTATAGTGGTGCTCGTTATGAACACGTTCCAGTTCACCTTTGCTGCTAAAGAAATTGTCCAGCACCAGCTCATCCTCCCTCCCCAATTACACTCCCTGTACTGTACCCTTCATCAACTCGTTATAAAACACGATATGGTACACCCACCGAGCTCATGTACCGTTTGCTGCTGAAGAAGTTATCCAGCACGAGCTCATCCTCCCTAGTAACACTTCTCTACACCCGTTATAGTGCTTCTCGTCATAGCACGTTATAGTACACCCACCGCGCTCATGTACCGTTTGCTGCTGAAGAAGTTGTCCAGCACGAGCTCATCCTCCCTAGTAACACTTCTCTACACCCGTTATAGTGCCTCTCGTCATAGCACGTGATAGTACACCCACCGCGCTCATGTACCGTTTGCTGCTGAAGAAGTTGTCCAGCACGAGCTCATCCTCCATAGTAACACTCGTCTACACCCGTTATAGTGCTTCTCGTCATAGCACGTTATAGTACACCCACCGCGCTCATGTACCGTTTGCTGCTGAAGAAGTTGTCCAGCACGAGCTCATCCTCTGCGAAAACCCTCCCGCGCTTCCGACTCCCTAAAGCAGCAGCAGGAGCAGCAGCAGCAGCAGCAGCAGGAGCAGTGGCAGCAGTGGTTGCAACAGCAGCGCCAGTAACAGGTCCGGTTGCAGCACTGTTAGCGGAGGAACTGGCATATACTGGGGAATGGGGATACGTTGGGGAACCCCCATATAAGCTTGGAGAGCCCGCCGCGTGCAAGCCTTGAGAATCTACACCCATAATGTGTCGGGGAGATCCATTTCGCGGGGTTGCAGCAACACCCGAGGCAGGGCTTCCGTAACTCGGTAACAAAGGATTCGCTGGGTTCGCCGAACCCGAGCCAAGGCCCCCTGGTACTAGAGATCCGATTTCCGCCATCATGGGAATTCTTCCGCCGTTTCTGGCCATTCCTCCGTATTGTGCGCGCGCTCTTCTGCCGTCCGCCAGCGTTCCGCGGAGAGCGGCTTCCCCCGATGGCGGGAAGCTGGGGAGCTGCGACGCGGGGAGCGGCGGGAGGATGTGCTTCGACGCTACCACGTCGTGGGGACGTTGCGCGAGATGGGCGATTCTGTCGCCGCGTACGCGACGTCGCAGGTTGAGAATCAGTGGGATAAAATCGTAAAAAAAAGACGGTGTAGGATAATAGTAAATTCCAACGCTCTGCTCGCTGAGACTGCTTCAGGTGCCACTGCCTACGGATCGACATGTGCTGGCCAGTCTGGCGTGCTGTTTTGAGGTAGGCGAAAATCTAGGGCTTGTTCAGCGATCTCCTTGCGGGACATGTTTCGAGCTGGTGATGAGAAGTTACGCTTCGTGTATGGTCTCCTGACATTACTCCCTCCGTCGCTTAGTTTTCAGAGAACATTTTCTGGCGACATTTAGTAGCCGGTCAGGCGTGTTCATTTTTCGGGCGTGTTCATTATCGGTACATTACAAGTCCTGGCAAAAACAAATTGAAACGAAGAATTCTATGTCATCCGAAGAAACGCGCCCGCAGGCGTGTCACTCGATCGAAGAAAGACAAATCAGACACTGGCCCTAAGTGAATCTGACGAATCAGAGCGTGTCCCGCGCGCATTTGATAGGGGTTGGGCAGAATGCTTTTTGATTCAGACGGCTAATAAAAAAAAAGGAAACGTTCGGAAATGGCTGGATAGGGTGCGAGGAAATGAGAAACGCACGCGGGGGACACGCCCTAAGGTGTCCAGTCAGTCGAACCAGGCAGGCCTCGAGAATGCCGAGCAGCGTCTCTGACGCGACGTGACTGCAATAATCCATCTAGGGTTCGCCCAGTCCTAAGTCTGCGCGCGCTCTTAGTATCCACGTTGGCTGGTGGTAGACGTAATTGCTGGCAGAGTGTGTGGATGATACCTGGGCCTGTGATTCCGGATTTTTGCTGGTTATTAGTCTAATGTTTACGTAGAATTCGATGACATTCTGAGCCGCAGATTCACAGCGTGCGTCACAAACTTAGCCGGCACATTCCCACTGGGGATTCCAAGCCCTTGATTCGTGCCGTTTTTCTTTCTTCAGGGCTAGCTAAGAATCAGGCTTAGGGTAATTCCGCGGATTATATCATGTTCCCAGCATGTCCCTAAGGCGGCTGTTCCAGGCGTCTGGCAGACGAGTCCCTAGGTGCGCGGAGTCGCCGCTTTAGGGAAACGCTACGCCGCTCCCCTGACACCAGCGTAGCAGCAAGAGGCTCTACCCTCCAGCCCTCCAGGCTCGCCATTTGAGTCGACTCGAAAGTCACCTCCAGCCCTCCAGCCCTCTAGCCCTCCAGCCCTCTAGCCCTCCAGCCCTCCAGCCCTCCAGCCTTCCAGCCCTCTAGCCCTCTAGGCGCGCCGCGAAATACGATATAGTTTCGCCGCGTGGATCGTCCAGCCTGGCTCTAGTGTGCCTCGCAGCCGCTGCGACCTAGCACGAAGCCACATCCCTCACGCTTCGCAGCGCAAGGCGGCAACTCAACGGAACGCGTCGGTACTCTTCGGTTCTGATCGCGCCGTTTTTACTCGGCGAGCACCTCCGTCCGCCAGATCGTTGACTCCACCCGTCAGCCGTCAGCCAGCTTTCGCCGTTTCACGTATCCTCGCCACCGTGTCCGCGGTATCGACATGTCCGCGATCTCGCTACAAGCCTTCCGGCCGACGGCCGAGAAGGTGTACCACGTGGACGTGCACCCCACGCTGCCGTGGATCGTTTCATCGGACGGCCACGATAACGTCGTCGTGTGGGACTGGGAACACCGCCAGGTGTGTTATTTACCCAAAAAAATAGGGTAATTCAGTGCATCCCACGCTGCCATGGACCGTTATCGGACGGCCGTTACATGTGGGCCTGGGAGCACTGATAGCTATGGACTTTACCCCGTGAAAAGAGAGCAAACTGAGAGTTTACCACTGATGCATCTTCTGCCGTGCACGTGCCTTGCTGCCAGGTGACCTGTGATTCACCTCAGTAGGCATCTCCTCTGCTGCTCTGCGATCCATTCTTAATGGCCCTGGCAGGTGCTGCACGACAGCGCCTCGTCCCAATTCCCAATTCCCAATTCCCAATCCCCAATTCCCAATTCCCAATTCCCAATTCCCAATTCCCAATTCCCAATTCCCAATCCCCAATTCCCAATCCCCAATTCCCAATTCCCAATTCCCAATTCCCAATCCCAACCCCAACCCCAATCCCAACCCCAACCCCAACCCCAACCCCAACCCCAACCACAACCCCAACCCCAACCTGACCAATGGCCCTGGCAGGTGTTGTACGAGGTGAATGCGGGGGGCGTGGACGAGCGGCGCCTGGTGGACGCTCAGCTGCAGCGAATCGCAGATGGGGAGGAGCGTGAGTAGTGGGGATGGATGGGAGGAGCGTGAGTTTACTGATTTTCTTCGCAATGTTGTTCCCCCTCCCACTGACGAGCGTCGCTTGGTGGACGCTCAGCTGCGGCGAATCAAAGTTGGGGAGGAGCGTGAGGGTTGCTGGAAACCCACCTCCTAATGTTGATCACTCTCAGTTGTACGAATAATGCAATGCTTACCTGATACAGGTACGACTGATTATCTGATAATGCAATGCTTACCTGATACAGGTACAACTGATTATCTGATAATGCAATGCTTACCTGATACAGGTACAACTGATTATCTGATAATGCAATGCTTACCTGATACAGGTACAACTGATTATCTGATAATGCAATGCTTACCTGATACAGGTACAACTGATTATCTGATAATGCAATGTTTATCTGATACAGGTACAACTGATTATCTGATAATGCAATGTTTATCTGATACAGGTACAACTGATTATCTGATAATGCAATGTTTATCTGATACAGGTACAACTGATTATCTGATAATGCAATGTTTACCTGATACAGGTACAACTGATTATCTGATAATGCAATGTTTATCTGATACAGGTACAACTGATTATCTGATAATGCAATGCTTACCTGATCACCTGACGCAAGCGCGCTCTGCTGTGGCTGCTGTGCTTCCTGTGTGTGTCTGTGCTGCAGACGCCAAGACAAGGTCGTCAGCAGTGGGAGCAGAGGCCATTCGAGGAGGAGGGTGAGTTTTGGATATTTCTTATTCATGTCAGGACGAGAGGGGAAGGGGAGAGGGAAGCGTAAAGTTTTATGATTATGACACTCATTTTGGGAGCCATTGCACCAATGGTTGAATTCCATCGCACGGGCAACAGTGGCTGAATTCCCCTCCCCACCACTGATCCACTGCCACGTCTGCCACGTCTGCCATTTGCTGCGTGTCCCCTATCCCCTCCTCTCTCACCTATTCAGAGTGAAGGACGTAAAATTTTATGACGATGACGTGCGCTTTTGGACGGGGGCCATCGCACGGGCGGCAGTGGCGGAATCCCCCACAGTCACTTCTGCCGGCCTCCTCGTGCCGCCCATCGGCGCCGCCCCGTCCGCGGTGCGCGGGCGGCGGTTCTTGTTTGTGTGCTGCGACAACAAGGCGATCGTTGCCGACCTTGTGACCATGCGCACTAAGGACATTCCAAAACTGCTGCTGGACAACCGCTCGCCCCTTTGGTACGTCCACTTGTGAGGTGCCTGAAAGCACAGCATGTCATATGGCACCATGTGACCATGCCATGCGCACTAAGGAAGGAGAACATCCCAGCTGTTGATGGACATCCGCTCACCCCTTTGGTACGTCCCCTTGTGAGGCGCCTCATGGCACGGCACGGCACTGCACGGCACGGCACAGCACAGCACCTTGTGGCCACACCATGCCCACCAAGGACATTCCCAAGCTGCTGCTGGTCAACCGTTCGCCGCTCTGGTGCGTTTTGCTCTGTGGTTCTTGCTTTGAGGCCCCTTACAGCACGGCACGGCACCTTGTAGTAGCCATACCACACCACCAAGGACATCCCCAAGCTGCTGCTGGTCAACCGCTCACTCCTTTGGTATGTCTAGTCTTGAGGCCCCTGTAAGCACAGCGCGGCACGGCACCTTGTAGTAGCCACACCGCCAAGGCCATCCCCACCCCCAAGCTTCTGCTGGACCAGGATTGCAACAGCGCACCCCTTTGGTACGGCCAGACTTGAGGCCCCTGAAAGCACAGCTCGGCACGGCACCATGTAGTAGCCACACCGTCAAGGCACAGCATGGCAGTAGGCCCCTGAAAGCACAGCTCGGCACGGCAGTAGGCCCCTGAAAGCACAGCTCGGCACGGCAGTAGGCCCCTGAAAGCACAGCACGGCACGGCAGTAGGCCCCTGAAAGCACAGCTCGGCACGGCAGTAGGCCCCTGAAAGCACAGCTCGGCACGGCAGTAGGCCCCTGAAAGCACAGCACGGCACGGCAGTAGGCCCCTGAAAGCACAGCTCGGCACGGCAGTAGGCCCCTGAAAGCACAGCACGGCACGGCAGTAGGCCCCTGAAAGCACAGCTCGGCACGGCAGTAGGCCCCTGAAAGCACAGCTCGGCACGGCAGTAGGCCCCTGAAAGCACAGCACGGCACGGCAGTAGGCCCCTGAAAGCACAGCTCAGCACGGCAGTAGGCCCCTGAAAGCACAGCTCGGCACGGCAGTAGGCCCCTGAAAGCACAGCACGGCACGGCAGTAGGCCCCTGAAAGCACAGCTCGGCACGGCAGTAGGCCCCTGAAAGCACAGCACGGCACGGCAGTAGGCCCCTGAAAGCACAGCTCGGCACGGCAGTAGGCCCCTGAAAGCACAGCTCGGCACGGCAGTAGGCCCCTGAAAGCACAGCTCGGCACGGCAGTAGGCCCCTGAAAGCACAGCTCGGCACGGCAGTAGGCCCCTGAAAGCACAGCACGGCACGGCAGTAGGCCCCTGAAAGCACAGCTCGGCACGGCAGTAGGCCCCTGAAAGCACAGCACGGCACGGCAGTAGGCCCCTGAAAGCACAGCTCGGCAGTGCACCGTGTGACTATGCCATGCTCTCTAAGAACACTTTCAAGCTGCTACTGGACTTCCGCTCGCCCCTCTGGTGGATCTTGCCTTGTGGAAGGGTTGTGGTTCGAGGCGCCCCCCACCCAACCCTAGCATGGCACCTTGTGACCACACCATGCGCTCGCTCCCTCCTCTGGTTCGTTTGGTACGGAGGCGCCTATACAGTCCTTTGGTGGGTTTCGGAGGCTGGGAAGCAAGCCTGAAGAGTCATAGCTCGTTGAGTTGTGATGTATGCGACTCTTCAGGCTTGCTTTGCCAGCTTTGCCGGATGGAAGAGTCAAATGTACAGCTGATGCCGTTTCCTGTTCGCTGTTTGTCTGTCTCCCTTCACCCTCCCCCCCTCACAGCGTTGAATTCCTGCCTCGCTCCAGTGTGCTTGGCGACGGCCCCTTTGCCTGCTTTGGAGGGCCGGATGGAGCCATTCGAGTGCTCTCCCTCGCCACCTGGCAGGTAAGTACGGCTTTTGGACCGGCAGTATGCTTAGCATTTGGCAGGCTTGCTGGCAGGTGAGCTTGCTGGCAGGTGAGCTTGCTGGCAGGTGAGCTTGCTGGCAGGTGAGCAGCTTGGCGACGGCCCCTTGGCGTGCTTTGGACAGCTGGATGGAGCCATCCGAGTGCTCTCCCTCGCGACCTGGGAGGTAGGGTCCTTGAACGAGAGTTCTCTGAAAGAAGCTGTATGTTGGCAGGGCAGCATCCTAAGCGTGCTTTGGAGGGTTGGATGGCACCATCCGATCCGAGTGCTCTCCTTCCCACCTTCCCATCCTGATTCCTGACATGCAAGCGTTTAGGCAGTTTGGCATCCGACAGGTCAGCACTGTGACAGGTCAGACACTGACAGGTCAGCAGCTTGGCATGGCAGGTTTGCATGGTGAACATCGAAGCCAAGGTGGAGATTGAACATTTTCGCCATGCATTTATCATACTTCATCCTTCGAAGGTCTGCGACTCTGTGGAGCTTGTTGCAGCTGAAGAGAGCGTGCTGGGCAGAACAGAAAGGCTCCTTTCTTGTGGCTCGCTCTCACATGGCTTCTCCCTACCCGTTCGTGCCTACATGTGTACGTGTCTGCCTGCCTGTTTGCCTGTCTATCTCTCCCCCCTCTCAGATATCTCGCAAGTTCTCGGGGGGGCACAAGGGCGCAGTGCACTGCCTGCTGCCCTTTATGGCGGGGAATGGGGAGGTGAGAGGCAATGGGGAGGTGAGGAGGATACATGGGAAATAAATGGGAAAGGCAGGCACACAGGTAGGATACACCCATAACCGCTGCATGGAGGAAGGGCTTTTCCTTTTCGAGACTTGGACAAAATCACTTGCAGCAGATGACAGTCTTATCGCTTGCCAGCTCCTCTCCTCCTCTTCAGTGCCCTAAAGAGGAGCAAGGAATGAGCAAGGAGGGAGCGAGTAATGGCTGAGCCACCTGGATTTCTCAGCTCAATGAAGTTCTCCTTGCTGCCCTCTCTGCTGCTTCCCTTCCCTTCTCGTCCTCCCTCCCTTGCCCCTCCCTCCCACTCTCCCTCCTCTCCCCCACCCCTACCAAATGAAGCTTTCATGTGTAGTTTTGAGGTCACCCCTACCAAATGAAGCTTTCATGTGTAGTTTTGAGGTCACCCCTACCAAATGAAACTTTCATGTGTAGTTTTGAGGTCACCCCTACCAAATGAAGCTTTCATGTGTAGTTTTGAGGTCACCCCTACCAAATGAAGCTTTCATGTGTAGTTTTGAGGTCACCCCTACCAAATGAAACTTTCATGTGTAGTTTTGAGGTCACCCCTACCAAATGAAGCTTTCATGTGTAGTTTTGAGGTCACCCCTACCAAATGAAGCTTTCATGTGTAGTTTTGAGGCGCCTCAAAACCCACCCACCCCTACCAAATGAAGCTTTCATGTGGCAACTGGTGCCGAAACACACTCTTCAATCCATGCCCCTGCGCCTCCCTTCTTTTTTTGAGGCGCCTAAAAAATAGACTCCTAACACACTCTTCCGTCCATGCCCCTGCGCCTCCCTTCCCTCCCCTCCCGCTCTCTCCCTCCACTTCCCCAGATGCTGCTGACATCAGGAGGGGCAGACGGCACCCTGGTCATGTGGGGGGCGGACTCCTAGGCGAGTGCAGCCAGTAGGTGCTGCCCGAATTCTCGCTTCTTGAGAAGCTCACAGCAAGCTCACAGAGTCACAGACCTTACAGCCATTTCTTGCTCTCCCTCCCTACCCTGTCCTGCCCTCGTTCCCTCTTTTGATGCTCCTGGCGTCAGGAGGGGCGGATGGGACGGTGATCAGGTGGGGGGCAGACTGCCAGGCGTCCAGGGAGGTGGCGCCCAAGGTCACTCTGCCAAAGGGGGTGGTGGGTTTGGGCATCAGCCTTCACCCCGCCCTTCTCTTGCTGATATCCCCTCCCCCAGATGCTCCTGGCATCAGGCGGTGCAGATGGCACCCTTGTCATGTGGGGGGCGGACTCCCAGGCGAGCCCCTCGAGGGAGGTGGCGCCCAAGATCACTCTGCCCAAGGCGCACGACGGGGGCGTCGTGGGCATCAGCCTGGCTCGCATTCACGGCGCCGCGCCGCACCTCGTGACCTGCGGGGGCGACAAGGCGGTGGCGTTCTGGGATACCACCATGTTCAGAGTACGGTGGTGGGGTGGGGGGGTGTATAGGTGTGTGTATAGGTGTGTGTATAGGTGTGTGTATAGGTGTGTGTATAGGTTTGTGCATCCCCTTATAGGCGTTAGACTGTTTTTCTTGCTGCAGGAGGTGAGGAATTTGATTGGAATCACACCATTCCCAAGGCCCTCTGCCAGAGGGTCCACTCACCAGTTACTGCCTGCCCTTGTTCCCCTCCTTCCCCCTCCTTTCCCCTCCTTTCCCCTCCTTTCCCCTCCTTTCCCCTCCTTCCCCCTCCTTCCCCCTCCTTCCCCCTCCTTCCCCCTCCTTCCCCCTCCTTCCCCCTCCTTCCCCCTCCTTCCCCCTCCTTCCCCCTCCTTCCCCCTCCTTTCCCCTCCTTTCCCCTCCTTCCCCCTTCTTTCCCCTCCTTTGTACTGCCATCTCTTGCCTCGCGGTGTTTCTATTTGCTGCAGGAGGTTCGCCGCCCGGCGCCGGAAGCACGCCATTCCCAAGGCCCTCTGCGACACTCGAGCCGACTCCCTAAACTTTCCCGCCCATTTCTCCTCTGCAACTCCCATCTCTTCCCACACCGTGCCGTGCCGTGCCTCACCTTCCCTCGCTGCAGGAGGTGCGCCGCCTGAAGCACGCCATTCCCAAGGCCCTTTGCCACACCATCGCCAGCTGGCGCCACCCCAGAGTGCCAGCTGTCGAGGTGCTCGCCTGCGCCAAGGACTCGCACATCTGGTGGGTGGCAGGGATTGGCGTTTCTGCTGTGGCGCATATGGTGGGTGATTTGCGTCTGATTCAAATCACGGGTCAAATGGGGTGGCATGGAGTCTTATGTCTGGTGGGTGGTGGGGGTTGGCTCGTATAGTGGGTGGCAAGGTCTGGCACGTATGGTGGGTGGCTTGCTGTGGCTCATATGGTGGGTGGCAAGGTCTGGCACGTATGGTCAATGTCTGGAAGGGACTCTTCCAGGGGGGTGTTGCCTTTGACGCACATCAGTCAGATGGCACATAGGGTGGGTTACCAGGTTGCTGGGTTACCGGGTTGCTGGGTTACCGGGTTGCTGCCAATGCCGGTTGCCAATGCCGGTTGCTGGTCTGATGGCCGGTGAGTGTGATTGACAAGGCGCATCAGGGTGTTTTTTAGAATTCTCAAGAACACCCTTTGAGAATTCTGAAAAGCACCTGCGGTTGCTGGTCGGATGGGTGGTGAGTGTGATTGACAGGCGCATCACGTGTGGTGGGTGACAGGGAGGGACTCTTCCAGGGGGATGTTGCCGTTGATGCACGTCAGATGGCACATAGGATGGGTTACCGGGGTGCTGCCAGTGCCAGTTGCTGGCCTGATGGCCGTTGAGTGTGACTGACAAGGCCCATCATGTGTAGTGGGTGGCAGGGGTTCCCTCTCATCTCATGGCATCAGGGGGTAGCAGTGTCTACTCTCATCTCATGGCATCAGGGGGTAGCAGTGTCTACTCTCATCTCATGGCATCAGGGGGTAGCAGGCCCATCTGCGGCTTCTCCACTCATTCGCCTCTTCCTCCCGTCCTCCGCCTCTCTATCACTCATCTCTCCCGCGCATGTCTGCTGCTTTCCACTTGCTTGCAGGGCGTTGGAGGCATCGGGGGGCGGCAGGCGCACCTGTGGCCTCCCCGCTCATGCTCCTTCCCCTGCCTCTCTCCGCTTACCCATTGCTCATCCCTGCCCTCCACTCGCAGGGCATCTGGGGGCAGCAGGCCCATCTGCGACCTCTCCAACCACGTGCCTCTTCCTCACCTCTACCCTCTCCTCTACCCTCCCCTGTATCCCACCTCCCCCGCTCCGCACGTGTCTGCTGCCGTTCGCACGCAGGGCGTTAGAGGCGTCAGGGGACAGCAGGCCCATCTGCGACCTTTCCACTCACGTTCCTCTTTTTTCGCTGAACAGACTGCCCATTCTCCTCCACCCTCCCATCCCTGCCCTCCACTCTCAGGGCGTTGGAGGCATCGGGGGGCAGCAGGCCCATGTGCAAGGCCGCGCGACTTCTCCACTTACACTGCTTTTCCACGTGCCCATCCCTGCCCTGCTGCCATTCGCAGGGTGTTAGAGGCATCTGGGGGCAGCAGGCCCATCTGCGACCTCTCCACCCACGTGCCTCTTCCTCACCTCTACCCTCCCCTCTACCCTCCCCTGTCTCCCACCTCCCCCGCTCCGCACGTGTCTGCTGCGGTTCGCTCGCAGGGCGTTGGAGGCGTCTGGGGGCAGCAGGCCCATCTGCGACCTTTCCACTCACGTGCCGCCTACCCCCCAGCTGGCGGCAGGCAAGAAGCTCAAGGTGAGTCGGGCTCTTAGAGGAGCAGCTTGTAGTGAGTGCACCGGGGGCTAGCTTGCTCATATGAAAGCACTCTTTATGGGACAAAAACACTGGGAGGAGCTTTTGGGGAGAAGTTTCAAAGAAAGCGTGTAACATATCGAGGTCTCTCCCCCCCCCCAACCCCCCTTTCCCCCACTCCCCACCGTCCCCTTCCCTATGCTGATCTACTACATGATGCCGCAGAACCTGCAGCAACAGCGGGTGGTGTGCGGCACCAACGTGGGAGTGCCGCTCACTCACCTGCTCACTCTCAATCTACTGTATCCCTCCTCTTCCTCCCCTCTTCCCCCCCTCTTCCCCCCCTCTTCCTCCCCTCTTCCCCCCTCTTCCCCCCCTCTTCCCCCCCTCTTCCCCCCCTCTTTCTCCCCTCTTCCCCCCCTCTCCCCCTCTCTCTCCCCTCTTCCCCCCCTCTTCCTCCCGTTCCCACCTTTCCCCCATTGCCCAGATCTACCGCATGATGCCGCACAGCCTGCAGCCGCACCTGGTGGTGTGTGGCACCAACGAGGGAGTGCTGCTCACCTGCTCACCCTCAGTACTCCTAATTCCTCTGCTCCCTGCTCCCCCGCCCTCCTGTCTCCTCAACCCGCCCCCCCCTTTCACCAGATCTACTGCATGATGCCGCACAGCCTGCAGCCGCACCTGGTGGTTTGTGGCACCAACGTGGGAGTGCTGCTCACCTGCTTCGACCGCAGGGCCGTGCCCCCCGCAGCCGCGCTCCCCACGCCCCAGGGCTCCCGGCAGCACCAGGTGTGGCTTGAGGCGGCTCAGATCAGATTAAGGTAGCACGAGGTATAAACCCACCAGGTAAAACCCCACCAGGTAAAACCCCACCAGGTAGAACCCCACCAGGTAAAACCCCACCAGGTAAAACCCCATCAGGTAAAACCCCACCAGGTAGAACCCCACCAGGTAAAACCCCACCAGGTAAAACCCCACCAGGTTAGTTGTGAGGCTGTCAGTCCAAGCCGTGCATGCCTGCTTGGAATGCAGAGCCGTGCCCCCGGCGACATCCCCTGCCCACACTGCAGGGGTCGGGGAAGCAGCACGAGGTGAAACCCCACCACCAGGTGTGCTGTGAGGCTGCCAGGCCAAGCCGTGCGTGCCTGCTTGCAGACAGAGCCGTGCCCCCGGTGGCATCTCTGCCCACGCTGCAGGGGTCGGGGAAGCAGCACGAGGTAAAACCCCACCACCAGGTGTGTTGTGAGGCTGCCAGGCCAAGCCGTGCGTGCCTGCCTGGAATGCAGAGCCATGCCCCTGCCCACATTGCAGGGGTGGGGGAAGCAGCACGAGGTAAAGCCCCACTGCTAGGTGTCTTGTGAGGCTGCCAGGCTGTGCCGTGCGTGCCTGCTTGGAATGCAGACAGATCCCTGCCCTGGCAGCATCTCTGCCCACGCTGCAGGGGTTCTGCCTAAGCAGGGTTTTCAACTGGCTCGCATTTAAGCTCGTGATTTGATTCGACTCAGTAATCTCTCTCTCCTGCCTTTTCACCTTCCTTCCCCCCGTGTCCCCCCCTCCACCCCACCAGGTGGCGTTCTGCCTGGGCGGGCAGGCTGGGGTCTCCTCTACGCGCTGGCCTTCCAGCTGCTCACAGCAGTCTTCTCAGTACTCTTTCCTACCATTTTGCACCCCTACCAATCCCTCCTCCCCCCCCCTCTTTCTCCCGCCCCTCTCACCCTGTCCCTCAGGTGGCGTTCTGCCTGGGAAGGGGCCTCAACGTGCTGGCCTTCCAGCTGCTCACAGCAGTCGACTCAATCCTCTTTCCTGCCTTACGCCCGTTCCTGCCCCTCACTTCTCCTCCCCTTCTCCCCCCCTCTCCCTGCCCCCCACTTCTCCTCCCCTTCTCCCCCCCTCTCCCTGCCCCCCACTTCACCTCCCCTTCTCCCCCCCTCTCCCTGCCCCCCTACGCCAGGTGGCGTTCTGCCTGGGAAGGGGCCTCAACGCACTGGCCTTTCAGCTGCTCACAGCAGTCGATTTAGCATATTGTCCTACCTTTTTGCCCCCCTTCTACCCCCCCCACCCCCCCCCCCTCTCTCAGGTGGCGTTCTGCCTGGGTAGGGGCCTCAACGCGCTGGCCTTCCAGCTGCTGACAGCAGCGCAGTTTGGGCCTGGGGCAGGCGTCACTGTGGCTGGGGGAGGTGGCAGCCAGAGGCCCGTCACCCCCGCTGGAGTTACACGCGTGGATGCCCTTGAGGCTGCTGTGCCTGAGGTGAGTCAGTTAGTAAAGGGTATAGAATGGGTTTTGAGTCCTGGTGCAGACAGCAGCCCAGGTTGGGCCCAGGTCAGGCGTCACTCTGGCTGGGGGGGGGGGTAGTGGCAGTCAGAGGCTGCTGTGCCTGAGGCGAGTCGTTCTCAAAAGGGTATAGAGTGGGTTTCAGCGCTGGTGGGGACAGCAGCAGAGGTTACCGGTTGGCTGGCTCCAGGGGCAAGGGTGACTCTGCCTGGGGGGGGGGGTGCAGTGGCAGCCGGAGGCCCAGAGTGGATGCTCTGGCTGGAGGCTGCTGTGCCTGGGGTGAGTGGGTGGGTTGGCCAGGCTTCAGTGGGTGTGGAGTGGAGTTCTAAGGGTGTGAAGGAGTGCCGTTAGGGGGGGAGCGTTGTTGCCAGTCTTTTGCTTGCTCAGGCATGCCTAAAATCTCTGAAACCAGCATCTGACATTCCCTGTGTGCTTGCTTGCCTGGAATCACTGTGTATCCGACTTTGCCTTCTTGCTGCTTGCTTGTCTTGTCTGCTTGTCTTGTCTGCGTGTCTTGTCTGCTTGTCTTGTCTGCTTGTCTTGTCTGCTCCTTCCTTGTCTGCCTGTTTGTGTCTGCTTGTCTTGTCTGCTTGCTCCTTGCAGGTGAAGCAGGAGCGGCGGAGAGCAACGTCTGTTGCGCATGAGAGCTACTCGCACCTCTCTGTCAGCAAGTCGGGCAAGTGAGTCGGGCAAGTACCGGTAGTATCAAACCCAGCAATCATGACTAAGCTCGATCGGCAAGTATGTGGAAGGAGCCTAGCATGAGAGGCGGAGATACTCACACAGATAGTATCAAACCCAGCAAGCATGACTAAGCTCGGCAAGGATGTGGAAGGAGCCTGGCATGAGAGGCGGAGGGCAGCACCTGTTGCGCATGGGAGTCACTCGCACCTCTCTGTCAGCAAGTCGGGCAAGTGAGTCGGGCAAGTGAGTCGGGCAAGTGAGTCGGGCAAGTGAGTGGGGCAAGTGAGTCGGGCAAGTGAGTGGGGCAAGTGAGTCGGGCAAGTGAGTCGGGCAAGTGAGTCGGGCAAGTGAGTCGGGCAAGTGAGTCGGGCAGGTGAGTCGGGCAAGTGAGTCGGGCAGGTGAGTCGGGCAAGTGAGTGGATCGATTCAACTAAGGCCAGCTATAGGCAATCTCAGGGTTTGGGGTAGAGGGTCAAGCTCAGGGTTTAGCATGCGCCCCTCACACCTAGACATGGGCAAAATGCGATTGCGATTTAAATCGCATCGCATTGGGGGGCGATTTAATTAAATGCGATGCGATTTTAAATCGCATCGCGCGATTTAATTTATGGAGAAAATTAAATCGCACATCACGTTTTGCGCGCGATGAATATTGAAACCGCAACCATGGCTGCCGGGAAATTGAATCACGGGCAGTCATAAGCTAGAGTGCAAATAACTAGTGTGATTTCGTAGTGTGTTTCAGAGTGGGTGTCAGTGCGACATCGCGCACGATTTTTTAAAAATCGCATATCGCATTTAAATCGCGTTTTTTAGCGCGATTAAAATGCGATTCAAATCAAGTCGCGCGATAAACAATTCATCGCATCGCGCGATGATAAAAAAAATTAATCGCAATTGCAAAAACGCGATTAAATGCGATGCGATGCGATTTTTTTTCCCATGTCTACTCACACCATGCCTATGTTGGAATATACGCACAGAAGGCTTTGCGTATTGCGTATATACGCTTGCGAATATACGCAATACGCTGATACGCTTGGAATACGCGATACGCGATACCCGGGCTGCCCGGCGAAAAAAAAAACTTATATTTTTTTTTTCCGCGACTTCGCGACGTCGCGGTTTTTTCGCCCATTCTTTTTTGCCCATAGCCCAGCCTGCTCTGTACGTGATTGAAAGCCATCCCGTGTTTGCCGTTCCCCATTTCCGTCCAAATCTCAGCTCTGAAGCGAAACGGTGGTGTGCTTAGCTAGGTGGCGGCGATTGCGCGAGTTACGGTGCTTGTTAGTCTTCTACCAAAGTGATGGGGGAGATGATGGGGGGGAGAGTCGAGCATTTGTGAGGAAAGGTTGGAGTTTGTAGATGGGTGGGAGTTCAGTGCGGTGAAAGGGAGGGAGTTGGTTGGCTGGAAGCCAATTTGACTTTGTAGACGGGGGGGTTGAGTGCGGTGAAAGGGAGGGAATTGGCAGGTCAAAATTCGACCCCTCAGAAAATGCCTCTCATTTGAGAGTCACGTTTTCAGAAACCCTAGCCTAGCCGCTACCATCATGGCTTCCTTGCTGCCCCCTGGTTTTGTTACCCTGCCCGGGCAAACCTTTTTTCCTGCCCGGGCATGCGTATTCCTGCCGTGTTGGACCCCAAATCCAAGCGTATAGCGTATATACGCAAGCGTATATACGCTAGCGTATAAAACGCAGTACGCGTATTTTCCAACATAGCACCATGCCCCCGTTGCACCATGCGCGCGTTGCATCATGCGCCATCATTTGACTCGCGTACAGCACAGCCGACTGGGAGGCTGTGTTCACAGCACTTATTCCCTTGCGCCCCCTAACCCCGTCCCGTGCTCCGTCACAAAAAACACCATCAGGTACCTGGCGGTGCTGTGGCCCGAGGTGCCCTTCTACAGCGTGTACAGCACGGCCGACTGGAGCGTCGTGGACTCTGGCACCGCGCGCCACTTCGCCTGGGACACCTGCCAGGACCGCTTCGCCATCCTGGGAGGGGCCGTGGTGCCCAAGGTGTGTTTTGAGTGAACTCTCCTCTCCAAGCACATGTGGTGCTGTCTGTATGTCTGCCGCCTCCGTGCATCACACCCAACCAACCCACCGCGCGCCACTTCGCCTGAGACACTTGCCAGGACCGCTTCGTCATCCTGGGAGGGACGGTGGTGCCCTAGGTACGAGTGTATGTGGGGCGTTCTTTCAGTGTGCTTGTCTGCATGCCTGTTGTCTCTCTGTGAGGCGCCTCAAAAATAGACTTGTCTCTCTGTGTGGCGCCTCAGTCTTTGCTCTCTCCTTGCATCGCACGCACCCCACCGCCCGCCACTTCACCTGGGACACGTGCCAGGGCTGATTTGTCATCCTGGGGGGGACAATGGTGCCTATGGCGCTGCCTATTTGCATCCTACCCACTAGCAACGTCAGTCAAACTCGCTCCTGTCGTTTGAACCAGAAACGACGCCACGGAGGCAGAGGTGGCAGTGGCTAGCAGAGGTGGCAGTGGCTATCAGAGTCAAGCTCTCTTGTTTCTCCTTTTGGTTCCTTCTGCCTGTTCCTCAGGTGCAAAGCAGTTCAACCAGCTCAGGCACGCATGGGTTCAGAGGTCGCAGCAAGAAGGACGCCAAGGAGGCAGAGGCAGCAGCGGTTAGCAGAGTCTAACCTTTCGTCTCTGTGTCCTCCTCCCTGCCCTCTGGTGCAAAGCAGTTCAACCAGCTCAGGCAGGCACGGGCTCCGGGGGCGGAGCAAGAAGGACGCAAAGAAGGCAGTGGTGGCAGCTGCTGCTCCCATGGCTGCTGCGGCAGGGACAAACGTTGTCTTGCTCCCCCTCCCTTCCCCTCCCTCCCCTCAGGTGCAAAGCAGCTCAGCCAGCTCAGGGCGACATGGATTCAGAGGGCGCAGCAAGAAGGACGTCAAGGAGGCAGAGGCGGCGGCTGCTGCTGCCATGGCTGCTGCTGCAGGGACAAACGTTGCCCTGCTCCCCCTCCCTTCCCCTCCCTCCCCCTCCCTCCCCCCCCCTCCCCCTCCCTCCCCTCAGGTGCAGAGCAGCTCAGCCAGCTCAGGGCGACATGGATTCAGAGGGCGCAGCAAGAAGGACGTCAAGGAGGCAGAGGCGGCGGCTGCTGCTGCCATGGCTGCTGCTGCAGGGACAAACGTTGCCCTGCTCCCCCTCCCTTCCCCTCCCTCCCCCTCCCTCCCCCCCCTCCCCCTCCCTCCCCTCAGGTGCAGAGCAGCTCAGCCAGCTCAGGGCGACATGGATTCAGAGGGCGCAGCAAGAAGGACGTCAAGGAGGCAGAGGCGGCGGCTGCTGCTGCCATGGCTGCTGCGGCTGCAGCCCTGGCCGGGGCGACTGTGGAGGTCAAGCGCATCCGGAACGGCAAAGTGCAGATTTTGTGCGGATCCATTGAATCTGGACGCAAGGAGCAGGTGCGCGCTGTAGGACGTGAAGCATGGCTTGCTGTGCTGTGCTGTGCTGTGCTGCGCTGCGCTGTAGGACGTGAAGCATGGTTTGCTGTGCTGTCTGAGGGAACAAGCAGGCTGTGCTGTGCTCAGCTGAGTGAATGATGAAGCCTGGCTGGCTTATGAGTGGACTCAAAGCACGCCGCATGCATCCAAGTGGTGGCGTGGCTCACGTGACGCCACGGTACACTCCACGACACGAGCCCTCTTTCTCATCGCTTCCCATCTGTTTCTCCTCTTGTCTCCGTTGTCCCTCCCCCCTTCCCCTCATCTGTCCCTCACCCCTTCTCATTTGTGAGAATTCTCAACAACACCCTCCTGGATGCCCAAGAAGGCTGCTGGGAGTGACCTACAGGATGCCCAAGAAGGCTGCTCTCCCTGCTGCCCTCCTTGCCTCCTCATTGGCATCCCAAGTGTTCCTTCTCATGCTCCCTCAACTCAACCCCTTCCCCTTGGGCCCTGGCAGGTCACGGGTCTCTTCCCAGGCGCGCTGCTGGGAGTGGCCTACAGGATGCCCAAGAAGGCTGCTCTCCCAGGGGTCAGCCTGCCCTCTGCTGCAATCTCCTCACGCGCCGGTGGGTTTAGGGTCTCAGGGTTTTGCGATCTCCCTCACGCGCCGGCGGGTTTAGGGTCTTGGGGTTTTGCGATCTCCTCGCGCTGGTGGGTTTCGGTAGGGTCTTGGGGTTTTGTGTTCGCTGAAATCCTAAGGGCTGGCTGCTGTGCTTGCTTCCTGAGCTGGTGGGTGGGTGCTGTGAGCACCACTACTCTAATCTTTTCCCCTTCCCCTTGGGGCCTACTGTTCTGCCTTTCGTGCCCTGGCTTGGAAGCTCTCCTTTGTCACCCTATTCTTTCTTTCTTTTTCCGTTTTTTTTTTTTTTTTCTTCGCGTACCTTCATCTGCCATGTTCTCTTCCGCCGTTTTGATCTCCAAGTTGTCTCCTCTTTCCTCGTCTCTCTAATCATGCTACATTGTTACCACCTTTTGACCTTTGGTTGGCTCCCCCAGAGACCATGGCTGACTACTCTGAGCACCCGCCTAATTTTCACCTTATAAGGTACCCCTTTTCCCTGTTGTGACATTGATATTTCCAATATTTTTGCCTTTTTTTCCTCTTGTAAGGCCATCAGTGCGCCACTATCCGTGCCGTGTGACATTGTAACGAGGTGACTTTTGAGTCGACTCAAAAGCCATCAGTGCACCACTATCAGTGTCGTGTGACATTATAACGATGTGACTTTTGAGTCGACTCAAAAGCCATCAGTGCACCACTATCAGTGCCGGTATTCATGCCATGGGTCCTCCGCATCTCACATTAAAGCCACTGGTGGTGACCATTAAGGCCATGGTCCCTTCTCGTCGCTGATGCTGCGTCTCTCACAGGTCTTCTTATGACTGCTGTTGATGCGATTGGTGCCCTTTGCCTTCTTAGTTGTGTCTAAGCTTATGGCAACTAAGCTTGTATCTCCCCCTGTCCTCTCTTCTCCTCCCCTCTCTCTCCACCTCCCTCAGTTGGGAAACCTTCCAGCCAGTGAGCAGCATGCTGCCAGAGACAGAGTGGGCGGCGTGGGACCCCATAGTGGATTACTGCGCCTTTGCCTCCCTCCCTCTGTCGACCCCCTCCCCTTCCATCCCCCCATCTCAGTTGGGAGGCGTTCCAGGCCAGCCAGTGAGCAGCATGTTGCCAGAGCCAGAGTGGGCGGCATGCCAACCTCCCTAATGAAGTACTGCACCTTTACCTACCTCCCTTCACTCCTTTCCACGCCTTCCTACGGTCCACTTCCCCCCTTTTTCATGCAGTTGGGAAACCTTCAAGCCAGTGAGCGGCATGCTGCCAGAGCCGGAGTGGGCGGCGTGGGACCCAATAGTGGAGTACTGCGCCTTTGCCTACGCCACTCACATCGTCATCGCCACGCTTCGCCCGCAGTTCCGGTGCCTGGGGCACGTGGCTGTGAGGGGCGCCACTGGGGGCACGTGGCACCGGCGGCAATTGTTCCTTGCAACCCCTACTTCTGTGGAGTGAGTGATCTATCTGTATGTGCAAAGCTAACCCCACACACCTACACCACTCACATCGTCATTGCCATGCTGCGCCCGCAGTTCCGGTGTTTGGGCCACGTGGCTGTGAGGGGGGGCACTGGGGGCCCATGGCATCGGCAGCACCTGTTCCTCGCCATTCCCACTTCTGTAGAGTGAGCTGCTTGTTCTCCTGAGCTGGTTGTTCTCCTGAGCTGGTTGTTCTCGTGTTGGAGTGTATAAGTGTGCTGACTGAGTGCCGAGCATAATTAGTGCCATTCACACAGTCGTCATCTCCACACGTCGCCCGCAGTTTCCCTGCCTAGGGCACGTAGCTGTGAGGGGCGCCACGCCGCCGGGGACACTTGGCTCTGCGGCAGCTCTTCCTTTCCATTCTCACCCACTTCTTGATCACCGGCGGCACCGGCACGAGAAGGCGCAAAACGGAGAGGAAGAGGGGGGAGGAGAGAAAGGGCAAAGGTGGTGGGAGAGAATGGTGATTCCAGGTGTCCTCTGCGGCTCGTTTTGAGGCGCCTCAAAACTAGAGGGGGGAGGAGAGGGCAAAGGTGGTGGGAGAGACAGGTGATTCCAGGTGTCCTCTGCGGCTCTCCGTCCCATCTTGTTCCCTCTCCCCCTCTCCGCACGTGTGTGCTTGTGGATGCGGGCGTTAGTGCAATGGACTTGGAGACAAGAATGCACAAGGCGGAGAGGAAGCGGAGGGAGGAGGAGGCAAAGGTGGTGGCGGCGAAGGGCTTTCCTAGGTGTATTTTCCTGCACTCCCCCCCCCACTCTCTCTATCCCCTCCTTCCTACTCCAGGTGTGTGTTTGTTGATGCCGGTGTGAGTGCAATTGACTTGGAGACTCGGCGCCGAAAGGCGGAGAGGAAGAGGAGGGACGAGGAGGCAAAGGTGGTGGCCGAGAAGGGCGAGCTGGCGCTGCTGGCCATGGAGCCGCCCAAGACGGACGAGGCGCCTGAGCGGGTGCAGCTGCGACCACCCATGTTACAGGTGCGCTTTTTGAGTCGACTAAAAAATCACCCATGTTACAGGTGCGCTTTTTGAGTCGACTAAAAAATCACCCATGTTACAGGTGCGCTTTTTGAGTCGACTCAAACATCACCCATGTTACAGGTGCGCTTTTTGAGTCGACTCAAACATCACCCATGTTACAGGTGCGCTTTTTGAGTCGACTCAAACATCACCCATGTTACAGGTGCGCTTTTTGAGTCGACTCAAACATCACCCATGTTACAGGTGCGCCCATGGTATTGCACGGGTACACTTGCCCCACTCTTTATTGCACACACATACATCTAGCATCTCTCAAGGGTGAGCTGGCTCTGCTGGCGATGCAGCCGCCCAAGACGGATGATTCTCCTAACCTGCATTGCTGCCTCTCTCCCTGTCCCTTCCTCCCCCTCGCTTCCCCCTACCCTCTCCCCCTGTCGCCCTTGTCCCTCCCCCCACACTCCCTCCATTCCCTCCCCTCAGATGGTTCGCCTCGCCTCCTTCTCCACGCCCCCAGTCTTCCCCCCTATTTCCACCATGGCCATGTCTTTGACCCCTCCTAGTCTCTGCACAGCTGCCTCTCTCCCCTCCTCCCCTCCCCTTCCCCCCTCCATTCTCTCCCCCCACCCCCCCCCCCCCCCCACCAATCTCCCTGCTCCTCCCCACGCTCTCACCTTACTCCCCCACTTCCCCTCCTCAGGTGGTTCGCCTCGCCTCCTTCTCCTCGCCCCCAGCCGTCCCCCCTATTTCTGCCATGGCCCGGGCCCGCAGCCTATCAGCAGACGCCACGTCAGCAGGCGCCTCCTCGGGACCCGGGCTGCTGGACGGCCCCGAGGTGAAGCCGCCCGAAATGGTGGTGGGCGGCGGGGGCGTGCCGGTGGCGGCCGGGCGGCTACCGATGGAGCAGAGGCGGCCGGTGGGGCAGGTGCATGTGGTGGGCGTGAGGGACGGCGTCTTGTGGCTCGTTGACAGGTGAGTTAAAGGGGACTGACTGCCCCTAGGGCTTAGGGCAAGTTGATGCTGGGTTGGGTGGCTGCTGATTTAGTAGAGGTGGCCGGTGGTGCAGGTGCACGTGCTTCGCGTGAGGGACGTCGTCTTGTGGCTGGTGGACAGGTGCGTATATGGATAGGAGGGCAGGTATGTGCATTGTGCACCCCAGGTACAGAGCTCAGAGGCTGGTGGGGCAGGTGCACGTGGTGAGCGTGAGGGACGGCGTCTTGTGGCTCGTTGACAGGTGAGGGGACTGCCCCTAGGGCTTGGGTCAAGTTGATGCTGGGCTGGGCGGCTGCCCATGGAGCAGAGGCGGCCGGTGGGGCAGGTGCATGTGGTGGGAGGGAGGGATGGCGCGCTGTGGCTGGTCGTCAGGTGAGAGAAAAGGGGGGGGGAGGGGGGATGTCAGGTGCATGTGGTGGGCATGAGGAACGGCGTCTTGTGGCTCGTTGACAGGTATGTTAAAGGGGGGAGAGGGGGGAGAGGGGGGGAGAGGGGGGGAGAAAAATTGATGCTGGGTGGCGGCTGGCAGTGGGACGGGTACATGTGTGGGCGTGAGAGACGTGTCTTTGTTGCTAGAGGTTTGTTTCCATATCGAGTGCGATATGGATGAGAGGGGTGGTGACTCTAGTATTTGTAAGAAATAGAGTTGAAATGATTGATTAGGTAAAGAGCCCAAGGTTCTATAAGTACATGGCAAGGTGAGAGTGAATGGATGAAGGGAGAATTGGAGGGAATCCCCATTGGGATCTCCGGAATCTCTAATTGGGTAATTGGAGATTGGGGGGATCACAATTGTGTGAGGTTGGGATTTGTGAGTACATCCCAATCCACTAGAACATTCATAACCTAAACTAGGATATAAAAGTACAAATACAAAAGTGGTATTTGCAGCTTATTTCTAACACACACCCATAGACTGCAAACTCGATCAAGGAGCACATAGCCCCATGGAACGGAGAAGGCGATGGTGGTCAGCCTTGCCGAGAGCCTTGGTAAAGAGGTCGGCGAGGTTGCAATCTGAGGCGATGTACCGTACCGTCAGCTGGTCACTCTGAACAAGATCTCGGATGAAAAAATGACGAAGTTCGATGTGCTTGGTGCGAGAGTGGAACACAGGATCCTTGGTGAGGTGAATGGCACTCTGGTTGTCACACCACAGGGTGGGCGACTGCTGGGGGTAGCCTAACTTAGCGAGGAGAAAGGAGAGCCAGCATGCCTCTTGAGCAGCCATTGTGCCCGCGTAGAGCTCGGCCTCGCAGGACGACAGGGAGACTGCAGAGGACCGAGTGGAGCGCCAGCTGATGACTCCGCTACCAAGGGTGAAGCAGTACCCTTGGGAGGAGCGTCTGTCAGTCTGGTCATCGGCCCATGAGGAGTCTGTGTATCCCTCGAGCTTGACTGGAGAGGTACCACCAAGAGTGAGGATGTGAGACTTGGTGGCTTGTAGATAGCGGAGGTCCCTCTTGGCTGCAGACCAATGCGAGGCAATGTAGCGTCCAGAGGAGAACTACCGAGAGAGGACACTAACCGGGTAAGCCAAGTCTGGTCGAGTACACATCATGGTATACATGAGTGAACCGACTAGCTCAGGGTACGGATCCTTGCAGGCGTCAGGAGAAGGAACTGGAGGGGCCGTGAGCTGATGCTGTAGTGGGAGTGGAGTGGAGACAGAATTACTGGAGTCCATGTCGAACCGCTTGAGAAGGTTGTCGATGTAGGACTCCTGGGAGAGGGTGATCGTGCAAGCCTGGCGGTCACGAGTGATCTCCATCCCCAGGTAGTTCTTGAGGTCACCAAGATCCTTCATGAGAAAGGCAGAGCTGAGAGCAGACTGGACAGCTGCCATGTCGGCTGGATCTCTGGCGGCTAGAATGAAGTCGTCGACGTAGACGAGGATGTAGAAGGGCTCGGAGGAGTGACGAACGAAGAGACTGGAATCTGAGGCAGAGGGATGGAAGTCAAGTGCGAGGAGGACTTCCTTCACCTTGTTGTGCCACTCACGAGGAGTCTGCTTGAGGCCATACACTGGGCTCTTTAGCTTCCACACTGTGTTGGCAGGGTAAGTGCCAGGAAACCCCGGTGGGCGTTCTATGTGAATATCCTCCTTGAGCTGGCCTTGGAGAAAGGCGGAGGAGGCGTCCATGGACTTGATCTCGAAGTTGCTGCGAGCGGCTATATCAAGAAGAGCGCGCACAGTCGGGAGCTTGGCCGTGGGCGAGAATGTTTCGAAGAAGTCGAGATACTCCTTCTGGGTGAAACCCTTCGCCACGTATCGTGCCTTGAACAGTGGAGCTTCGCCTGGGAGTTGTTTGACTCGGACGATCCATTTTCCGCTGACGATGTTGACACCGGAAGGGGGAACAACATCGTCAAGGTTGTTGTTGCGAATGAACGCCTCGTTCTCCACATCCATTGCTGCCTTCCACTCCTTCTTATAAGGCCCCGAGAGAGCTTCCTCTTTTGTGCGAGGAGTCGGAATGGTCGGGTTCTCGGTGAAGTTGAGGGAAGGGCAGTCAGTAATGTCTGGGAAGATGTGAGAGAGAAATTGGCAGACCGCGTGAAGGTCAAACAGCTCCTCATGCCTGTCCCCCAGAAGTGCACGGGGGGGAACAGGATGGAGGGGACATCACCCCCGGCAGGAGGAGGCGGGGTGACCGAACACTGGATGGAGAAGGCGGCTGGTCCCCAGGCGAGAGGCGGAGCCGGTCCCTTGGAACGAGTGCGACTAGAGACCGGAGACGAAGGCGGCTGCGGTGGGACCGGAGGGACTGGGCGCCTCCGATAGGAGACTGGTGAGCCGGGCACGACGCGCGGGAAAGGCGAAACAGGAGGAGGTGCCGCTGCGGAGGATACTGGGGAGGCTGGGTGAGACACGCCGGACGGAGAAGGCCCCGGAGAAGGGGCAGCGGCCGGAGGTGGGGCATCAAAGTCTGCCCAAACAAGCGTCGGGGGAGGTGGAGGAGGCTCGCCCGTGGTCGCAGAGTGGAATGGGCGTGTCTCATCGAAGACGACATCACGGATGCGAATCAGCCGTCTGGTGATTGGGTTGAGGAATAAGTAGTCTGGGGAGTCAGAGTTGTGCCCCAGGTACATGCAAGTCTGGGTTTTGGGACCAAGCTTGCCACCTTGCTTCCTGCGCGTGTGGGGGCTTAGCAACACATACGCGGTACACCCCCAGACGCGTAGAGAGCGGGCGGAAGGCGTGACCCCAAGCCAGAGAGCGGTAGGTGTGGTGTCGGGCCGGTGGGGATGCGGATAAAGATTGTAGAGGAGTGCCGCATGGAAGAGGGCATATCCCCAGAGTGACCGTGGTGCGTTGGCGTGACTAAGGAGGCAGCGAGCGATCTGAACCAAGGTGTGGTTGCGGCTCTCTGCAATGCCATTCTGCTGCGGGCTTTCGGGGAGCGTGAAGGTTTGCCGAATCCCTTGGGCCGCACAGAAGTTATCGAATTTGCCATTGCGAAATTCTCCCCTGCCATCAGAATGGAGGCACTTCAGAGGAGTGCCGAATGTGACTTGAGCCTGGCGCACCCACGCCCTGATGACATCAGGTGCCTCCGCCTTGGTATGCAGGAGGTGCACAGAAACATACCGCGAGTGTTCGTCGACTAGTGTAAGAAAGTACCGATGACCGCCTCGGGATGCGACTGGAGCTGGGCCCCAGACATCCATGTGCACTAGGTCCAGCGGAGTAGCTGCGACGGATGGGGAGGAAGGGTGCGGCTGCTGTCTGAGCTTGCTCTTGGTGCAGTCCAGGCACGTGGGTGCAGGTGAGTCTGTTGGTGGAGGAAGCGCCGACGGGAGGCCAAGAAGAAGTTTCTTGGAAGCGATGTCGGCAAGTGTACGGAAGTTTGGGTGACCCAAGTGGTGGTGGTAGAGGATGGTTGGGTTGGCGAAGCTGCGACACGAACACGGAGTGGTGCTGGCGGCTTGCGCTTGGGAGAGGGCGACGAGAGGTGCAGGTGAATGCAGCGTGTAGAGCTTGCTACTGTTGAGTGTGAAGCGTGCTAGGAGATTGTTGGACTTAGGGTCGAAGAGGTCACAGTGATCCGAGTGTGCTGGGAAGATCGTGGTGACGCCTGCCCGTTGGAGCTCGTGTTGGGCCACGAGATTGTGGCGTAGTGTGGGAACACACATGCCAGTCACACTGCCCGAAAGAAAAGCTGGGCACGGAACTGTGGAAGAGCCCTTGGCGTGTGTTGTGAAACTGGAGTCTGCTCCAAGTAGACAGATTGGTGTCTCGTATGGCTTGAAGGAGTGTTCTTCCTTGAGAACCGTGTGAGTGGCCCCACTGTCGAGGGTGAACTCTATTGTAGCTGAGGTGCTTTGTGAGCCAGGATACTGCGAAATCGTCTCATTAATCATGGCAGTGCCAGGGAACAACATGTTGAGGCGCACATCAGCAGGTGCAGCCACAGCAGCCTGCACGAATTCCTGCGCTTCGACTTGATTGACTTGGCGAGGAGCACGATTGACCATCCAGCTTGGCGGCTTCGAGGCGGTCCCATTGACGGCATACCACTCGTCATCCTTCTTCTTAAAGCAGGAGGCAAGGGCGTGGTTGGTGCCGCCACACACCTGGCCAGCACAAGGGCCGCGCTTGATGACGTAGGGACACGGGGGGAAGCGGTTGCGCTAGAATGGCACCGAAGCGGCATAGGCTTGAGGCACGGGAGCGCGGATTGCATTGGCCTTGGCTTGAGCGCTGTTGTCCTTTTCGGCAGAAAAGAGCGCGGATGAGACCTTGGCAAATGTGAGGTCTGCAGGAGCAAGGCCCAAGAGCATCTTGCGTGTGACTTCGTATGCCGGAGTGAGGCCGACTAGGAGAGCGGCTGCAGGGGCTTGCTCGGGGAATACTATCCCCAACTGTTTGAGTTCACCATGAATGGACTGCACCTTGGTGACATAGTCCGCCATGCCTGGCGAGTCCTCGAGCCGCACTTCGAACATGCTGAGGATGAGTATAGCAACTCCCACTGCAGTCTTGTTCAGAAAGCGGTCTTCGAGATAGAGCCAAATGGCGTTGGCAGACGGGTAGTTGTGGTAGGTTTCGACGAGTTCGGGAGGAGTGGTGCCCATGAAGACACTAATGACCGCACCATCGGCCTTCTCCCAATTCTTGTACTTGAGCAGTGCAGCAGCATAAACTGCTTCGGCGGCGGCATTAGCTGGATCGGCGGACCTCTCGGGTTTAGGAGGCTCTTTGCCGTCACCGATGTTGAGAAGGAAGTCGGTGAGCTTGAGCCCCTTCATCTCGCGACTGAGGAGGTGCTTGTCGACACCATAGCGCCAAGCCTTGTAGTTGGAGCATGTACCGTCCGGCTCGAGACGAAGGAGCGGGATCGGGTTGGCGAGTGAAGTGGTTGAGTAAGCCATTGTCGGTGTGCAGCGCGGCACTTCTGGAAATTGGTCGACGAGAATTGCTGAAAATCACTTTGACGGCTGTATCAAAATGCCGCTAAGTAGGAAATGGCGTCGACGAAAATTTGTTAAAACGCCGACTTGAAACTGAATCTGAGCCTATGTCTAACCCCGGACCCACACACCCCCCCACACACCCCCAGGCCCTGTCCCGCAGCTACACAGCTCCGCAACCAGCTCCGCAACCAGCTCCGCTCCGCTTCAACCTGTGTACCTGCTCTTGATTTGACGCGAGACGTTCGTGGAGGCGATTTCGCGAGGGGAGTTCGCCTATTCTGGCGGGGTCAGAGGGGAAACTCGAGAACGAGTTTTAAGAGATGGTCGAAATTGAGATTCGACCAAGGAGAATTGAGGAGGAAATCGACGATGAGAAGCGTGAAAGCTTCAGAGATGAGAAATTCAACGAGGTCGAGTGCGAAGGCGGTCGACGATGAGAGGCACGACTGCAGAGTGGAGCATGTCGAAATTCCGACGACTCGAAACGAATGTCGCGACGATGAAGTGCGCGTAGCGCGGGCACGTTGAGATTAGGACCTTGATCCGCGTGTGCGGATAGGTCGCTTTGATACCATGTAAGAAATAGAGTTGAAATGATTGATTAAGTAAAGAGCCCAAAGCTCTATAAGTACATGGCAAAGTGAGAGAGAATGGATGAAGAGGGAATTGGAAGGAATCCCCATTGGGATCTCCGGAATCTTCAATTGGGTAATTGGAGATTGGGGGGATCACAATTGGGTGAGGTTGGGATTTGTGAGTACACCCCAACCCACTAAAACATTCATAACCTAAATTAGGATATAAAAGTACAAATACAAAAGTGATATTTGCAGTTTATTTCTAACAGCATTTTGGTTGGATAGCCTGGAAATGAAGAGGGTTGAGATAAAGGTGGATTTCTCCTTGTGCAAGTTAAGTGAAGTTACAGTGGTGGAGGAGTCCGAGGCGGGCCTGACATAGGCGCAGCAGCAGCAGGAGCAGAAGCGAGAGGGCCAGCATCAGCGGCTGGAGGTGCAGGCCGAGTGCTTGACGTATCTTCCTGCACATCCTGCAATGGTTGCAGCAGCAACGGGGCCAGCAGTTTGTGGTGCAACCAAACTAGAGCACCTGCCGCTGCAGCATGGCCCATAGGTGACTTTTGAGGCGACTCAAAAGTCACCTGGTTGCAGCAAAAAGGGGGCCAGCCCAGCAGCTTGTGCTGCAACCAAACTAGAGCACCTGCTGCTGCAGCATGGCCCACCCTTCCTTATTCCCCCTCTCTGTCTCACCATGCACCACTCTCACCATGCACCGCTCTCACCATGCACCGCCCTCACCTCACCGTGCATACAGCGCATGCCATCATCTCCATCATCCACCCAGGAGTGCTTGCGTTGCGCACTCTATAGAAACTTTCTCTCTGTCTCACCGTGCACCGCTCTCCCCGTGCACCTCCCGTGCAGGTTCATGACAGCGCATGCCATCTCCCTCACCCATCCCGGAGTGCGATGCCGGTGCCTCGCTGCCCATGGCGACCCCGTTGGTGCTGTCAAATGGTCTGTTCCCTCTGCCGCCCTCTGCAGCCCTCTGCCACCCTCTGCTGCCCTTTGCAGCCCTTTGCTGCCCGCTGCCGCCCTCTGCTGCCCTCTGCCGCCCTCTGCCACCTTCTTCTTCGTCTCTTTGACTTCTCCCGTTCTTGCCCTCCATCTCCCCTCCGCCTGGCTTCCATCTGCCCTCTGCCTGGCCTCCATTTCCCCTCCACCCTCCATCCCACTTGACTCCATGCCGTTCCTTCTACAAGCTTACCTCCATCTTGACCTTCTTTCCTTTTGCCTTCTCCCTCTCTGTCCCTGTCGTTCCTCCTTAAAATCACGTGGCTTGTTCATTCTCTCGCCAGTTCAACACTCGTTCTTTTTCCCCCATCCCATTCTACCATTTTCTTCTCCCGTCTCCAAGGCTGCTGGAGCCACTGCGATTTGGCGCACTTACATAATAGGGGCATAGGGTTTTTGTTTTTGTACCCCTCACCACCCCTTCCCCCCCCCCCACAACCCCTCACTAACGCATCTTGCCTGGGCAGGGAGCAGCACCACGATGACGTGGCGCAGTTCATGGTGGGGATGGGGCGTGCCTTCCCACAGTCTCCCCCAATCTGTCTCCTTTCCCACCACCCCTCACCACCCCTCACTAACGCATCTCGCCTGGGGCGAGAGTAGGCTTGAGCAACGGGTCGGGTCGGGTCGGGTAACCTGACCCGAACCCGACTTTTTGACGGGTCGGGTCGACATTTGCCGAGGGTGGACCCGACCCTCGGGTACCCGAACCGACCCGACCCGACCCGACCGACAAAACCCGACCCGTCGGGTCGGCTTATTACCCGTCCCTGCCCCTATGCCAACCCGACCCGACCCGACCCGAAATCGGGTCCGTTAGTACCCGACCTATTAAACCCGGGTGGGGTTGACATTTCCTGAACCCCGACCCGACCCGACCCGAACCCAACATCGGGTAGGGCAAAGTCGGGTCGGGTCGGGTTCATGCTCAAGCCTAGGCGAGAGCATCATGACGACTTGGCGCAGTTCATGGTGGGAATGGGGTGTGCCTTTTATTCTGCCCCCCCCCCATCCTCCCCGCTCTCTCCTTTTCCATCTTCTCCTTGTGCGTTTCGCCAGGGCATCTCGCCTCGGCAGGGAGCACCACGACGACTTGGCCCAGTTCATGGCGGGAATGGGGTGTGCCTTTCCCTCAGTCTCCCCCAATCTGGCTCTATTCCCACCACCCCTCACCACCCCTCACCACCCCTCGCCACCCCTCGCCAGGGCATCTCGCCTAGGCAGGGAGCACCACGACGACTTGGCCCAGTTCATGGTGGGGATGGGGTATGCGCGAGAGGCGCTGCACCTGCCCGGGCTGTCGAAGAGGTGCGTGCTTGCTGTTCTGCTCATGCAGATAGGCATTGCTGCTGCATACATTATATATGGGCGTTTGAATACATCTCGTGTGGTGAGTTGGATCGTGCCCTACAGTGCCTCTTGGCTCTCTCCCGCCCCATGTCAGCGTCGGGAGCAGCTGTGGCTGATGCTGATGCTGATGCTGATGCTGATGTTGACGCTGCTATTCCTTCATTAATTTATGGGAGAAAACAAATTATTTATTCCTTTCCCCCATCCCCCCTCAATTTCTCCTTCCCTCCTTCCCCCACCCCACCCCAATCCTTCCCCCAGATTCGAGTACGAGCTGGCCATGTCGTGTGGCGAGCTCGACCGCGCCCTGCAATGCCTCATGGCGCTCTCCCGCCCCATGTCAGCCTCGGGAGCAGCTGTGGCGGATGCTGATGCGGCCATTGACAGCCAGATGGACTCCACTGGGATCCTCGCCATGGCAGCATCGCAGGCCAAGTGAGTGGGGCTGAATTCTGATAATAGGGTGAAGGAACTAGCCTTTAGGATGATAGAATAATTCAGTGAGGAGCCAAGAGGCTCTCCTCTACAAACAAGGAGCAAGGAAGAGGTGAAATGGAAGCTCTCCTATTGGCTTTAAAGTGGACCAATCGGAGAGGTTGCTTGGAAGGCAAGCAACCACAAAGTGTGGTGCTTGGGGATTGGTTGGTTCTTAGGACCATTTGGTTAGAATAGTGCCAAATAAATGTCTAGGACCAAATCCAATCTTGACCAATCCAAATGTGGGGTTGGTCAACCCAACCAACAACCCTCCAATAAGTATAATGACTACACCTCTTAATCTAGGCATGCATGTTGCTTTTTTTTTTTTTTTACAACACAACCCCCCAACATGCATAAGACTAGATGCCTTGAATCAGTAGGCGGACAAGGGAACGGGGGGAGCGAGGCCAAGAAGGCGAAGGAGGGAGGAGTGGGCAGCGTGGGGGAGGGCTTTGGTGAAGATGTTGGCAAGATTGGCGGCAGGGTCAATCTTGCCCAGCTGGAGGCGGCCACCCTGCACGAGCTCGCGAATGAAGTCGTGGCGAAGCTCAATGTGCTTGGAGCGCCTGTGGAACACAGCATCCTTCGTGAGGTGGATGGTGCTGGCATTGTCGCACGAGATGGTGGGACAGCGCTGAGGAGCACCAAGCTCCTCAAGAAAGAATGTGAGTCAGCGAGCCTCCTGCGCAGCCATGGTAGCGGCATATAGCTCCGCTTTCAGGAGGAAAGGGCAATGGAGGAGGATCGGGTGGAGCGCTAGCTGATGAGGTAGCTGTCAAGGGAGAAGCCATAGCCCTGAGAGGAGCGGAGGAATCAGAGTAGCCAGTGAGGAGGGGAGGGGAGGGGCCGCTAAGGGTAAGGAAGTAGTCCTTGGTCCTCCGAAGGTAGCGGAGGACACGCTTGGCCGCTTGCCAGTAGACGGCATCATGCTTGCCGGTACCAACGAAGCGGACCATTACGCTGATAGGGTATGCTAGGTCAGGGCGGGTGGAGACCATGGCATACATGAGAGAGCCGATGAGCTCAGTGTAGGGGTGGGAGGAGGAGGAGGGGGAGGTGAGGGGAGTGAGGTGGTGCCCAATAGAAAGAGGGATGACCTGAGGGCTGCCTCGAGCCATGTCAAACCGCTCCAAGACCTGCTGTAGGTAGTGGCCCTGGGAGAGGGAGATGGTGCGAGATGCACGGTCGCGTGTAATCTCCATGCCGAGATAGTGCCGCAGCTCGCCGAGATCCTTGCACTTGAGCCGGCTCGCAAGCTCACGCTTGACTCGCTCGAGCTCGGCGGAGTCGGCAGTGATGAGGATCATATCGTCCACATAGACGAGGATGTAGAAGGGGGAGGGGGAGGTGCGGAGGAAGAGGTTGGGGTCAGCCCAGGGGGTGCTGAAGCCCAGCTCACCAAGGGTGGCAGCAAGCTTGGCATGCCACTCCCTTGGTGCCTGCTTGAGTCTGTAAACTGGGCGACGCAGCTGCCAGACAGAGTCAGAAGGGAAGGGGAGGTGGAAGCCTGCAGGACGCTCCATGTAAATGAGCTCGTGCAAGATGCTCGGAGGAAGGCATTGGAGACGTCCATGGAGTGAATCTCCATGTTGAGGCGAGCGGCGAGGTCGAGCATTGCGCGGATGGTAGCGAGCTTGGCAGCGGGAGAGAAGGTGTCGAAGAAGTCGACAGCGTAGCGCTGGGTGAAGCCCTTGGCGACGAAGCGGGTCTTGTAGACTAGCGGCTCACCAGGCAGCTGCTTCATCCGAAACACCCACTTCCCTTTTACCACGTTTGTGCCAGAGGGAGGACGGGACACATCCACAAAAGAGGAGTTGGAAATAAATGCCTCCAACTCCTTGAGGATGGTCGTAAGCCAGAGGTGGGCGTTAGTGCATGCCATGGCCTCCTCGTACGTGGCGGGGACGAAGATGGTGGGGGTGGAGGAGAAGGCGAAGACTGGTGTACCGCTGAGGTTAGGAGAGATGGGTAGGAGGGTTGGATCATGGAGGTGGAGGTTGTGGAACTCCTCATGGGAGTCCTCGAGGAGGGAGGAGTAGAAAATGAACGAAAGGACTGCTGCTGCTGCTGCTGAGGATGCGTCTGCTGCTGCTGCTGAGGATGCGTCTGCTGCTGCTGCTGCTGCTGAGGCGGCTGCTACTGTTGCATCTGCTGCTGCTGCTGCTGCGGCGGACGGTGAGGAAGGGGCGACGGCTGCTGCTGCTGCTGAGACTGCTGCACTGGAGCTCGACGGTAGGGTTGGGCTAGTGTTTTGTTGTAAGACAGCCTGAAAGAGGATGTCCATGAGAGGGGAGAGAGGAGGCAAGGTAGAGGAAGAGAGGGTAACAGGAAGCGGGGCACCTAGGACTGCGTCACGTGACCTGGTGTGGGGATACTGAGCGAGGATGGGGCGGGCGGGGCGCAGGGTGGGAGGGGGATGCGGGGGAGAGGGAGGAGGAGGGGAGGGGAGAGTACGAGAGGGTGCGGAAGGAGAGGAGTGGGACGGGGAGGCGGTGGGGAAGAGAGGGTCAGGGTCAAATATGTCACCAGAAGAGAGCACTGGGGACGGAGGCAGCAGGGAGTGGCGGAGGTGGAGCGGGGGGGAGGATGGGAGGGGGAGGGAGAAGAGGGGGTGGGATAGTGTCGGACGAGGTGAGGGTGTGGAATAGTAGGGTGTGGATTCATCAAAGACCACATCCCGACTGCGGAGGAAGCGATTTGAGGGGGGGTGAAGGAAGAGGTAGTCCGGGGAGGAGGGGTTATGACCAAGGAAGATGCAGGGTAGGGTACCGGAGGCGAGCTTTCCCATGGTGCGGGGGCGGTCTGCAGGGTGAATAAGGATACGCCCTGGAGCCCCACACACGGAGGGAGGAGACGTCAGGCTTGGCCGACGTCCAGAGCTCGGTGGGAGTGGTGGAGGGAAGGATGGGGTGGGGGTACAGGTTAGTGAGGAGGGTGGCGTGAAAGAGGGCATAGCCCCACAAAGAGGGGGGGCAAGACACCGGGCAATCTTGGTGATCTCCCGAACACGGTTCTCGGCCACACCGTTCTGCCGGGGAAGTGGGGGAGGGTGTGAGTCTGGCGAATGCCATGAAGCTCAGAGTTGGAGGCTTAGATGGGGGGAGGGGAGGGGGAGGGATCTGAGGGGGGGGAAGGGAGCGGGAGACTGCGTGGGCGGAGGGAAGGCGAGGAACCCGAAGGATATATAGGCGGGAGCGAGGATAAAAGGGAATACGGGAGAGGAGTCGACCTGTGGGATGGTACAAGAGGCAGTGATTGGCGCGACCTGGGAAGACAGTGGTGATACCGGCCTGCTGCAGGGATCGCTGGGAGAGGAGGTTAGTACGGAGGGAGGGAATGTGTAAACCAGTGACGATACCTGAGGGGAAGATGGGACAGGGGAGGGTAGAGGTGTGGCGACAGGGAACGGAGAAGTTGGAGTCGGCACCAAGGAGGGAGGTGGGGGTGGGGAGAGGGTGAAGTGCACCAGCATCACGAAGGACGGACTCTGTGGCTCCACTGTCAAGGACAAAGTCCTGTGTGGGGGAAGGGGGAGGGTGTGGAGGAGGAAGTGGGACGGAGTAGTGAATCACATTCTCATTAATAGTAGCCGAATACATAGAAGGAACAGGGGTTCCAACCTGACTAACCATGCCAACAAAACCAGGGGAGGGGAAAGGAGTCACACTGCCTGTGGCGGAGGGCGCAGAGACGCGCCCGAGAGGTGAGCTGCAGAAGCGGCGGTGCCGGCGGTCCAGCCGGGGGAGGGCTGCTGGGGGAGAGCCATAGGAGGAGGAGCGAGGGGGAGCTGCGACTGGTGGTCAAGCTGCTGCTGGAGGTGCTGGAGCTGCTGCTGCAGCTGGGAGAAGAGGTGCTGCTGCCCCTGGTGGTGCTGCTGCTGAAACTGGTGCTGCTGCTGCTGAAACTGTTGCTGCTGAATCTTCTGCGGAGTCTGCTGCTGCTGTTGTTGCTGAGAGACGGCCTGGTGGGCCAAGGGGGAGGAGCCGGGCTGGTAGAGAGGGGAGGTACGAACCTCCTGAGGAGTGGGGCGAGGAGAGAGGGAGGACCAGCGGGGGGGGGTGCCAAAGTTGCCGGAGTGTCTTGAAGCATGTATCAGTGGCATGAGTGGTCTGGCCGCAGCGCTGACCCCGCGTGGGGCCATAGCGAGGGAGGTACTGGCAGGGAGGAAAGGCAGCTGCTACACCACGTCCCGCGCCACTGCCACCACGGCCCACAGCACCACCACGATCAGCGCCACGCCCCTCCCACGTCCTCCCCTGCTGTTGCGCTGCTGAGCAACTGCGGCGGTGGAGGAGGAATGGCTGACGCCTCCTCTCATGGTTTCTCCCTCCCTCCCCTTCTCCCCTCCCCCCTTCCCCCCCCTGGCAGCATGATGGAGGCAGCAGTGGGCGTGGCCAGATACGCCTCTGAGTTCCTCGATCTCGTTGACGCAGCAGACGCCACCGGGCAGGCTGACGTGGCGGTGCGGGCGCTGCGACAGCTGGCGGGGGCGAGCTTGCTGGAGGGCGCTCTGCTGCCAGCCGTGCAGCGGAGGGTTTCCTTGAGACTTGCTTTGCACGGAGAAGGAACCAGGCTGCAGGTGAGATGTATGCGGCTGCAGGTGAGCGACACACAGAGTAACACTCACTGCGTATCGCCAAGGCACCTGGCGGGGGCGAGTCTGCTGGAGGGCGCTCTGCTGCCAGCCGTGCAGAGAAGGGCGTCTCTGCGACTGGCCTCGCATGGCGAGGGGCACCGGCTTTTTTTAGTCGCCTCTGCTGCCAGCTGCGCAGGGGAGGGTGTCGCTGCGACTAGGCGTGCATGGCGAGGGGCACCAGGCTGCAGGTGAGAGGTCAGGTGTACCAGCGGCCTTCACTTTCAGCTGAGGCAGAGCGGATGGGAGGGGCGAATCTGCTGAGGGGTCTGTGCTGCCAGCCTTGAAGAGAAGAGTGTCTTTGAGACTTGCGTTGCACGCGGAGGGGTCCAGGCTGCAGTCTGCAGGTATGCATGCCAAAGGATGTGCTTGGAAAATTCCCAAGTGAATATTGGATATTCCGGAATTAAGTGGGTTAGCAGCAGCGCTGGGGGGCGTTGGAATTGAACTGACCCAAGTGTTAGTTGTTGTTGTCATTGTTGTCATTGTTGTCATTGTTGTCATTGCTGTCATTGCTGTCATTGTTGTCATTGTTGTCATTGCTGTCATTGTTGTCATTGTTGTAATTGTTGTCATTGCTGTCATTGCTGTCAGTGTTGTCATTGTTGTCATTGCTGTCATTGTTGTCATTGTTGTCATTGTTGTCATTGTTGTCATTGTTGTCATTGTTGTCATTGCTGTCATTGCTGTCATTGTTGTCATTGCTGTCATTGTTGTCATTGTTGTCATTGTTGTCATTGTTGTCATTGTTGTCATTGTTGTCATTGTTGTCATTGCTGTCATTGCTGTCATTGCTGTCATTGTTGTCATTGCTGTCATTGTTGTCATTGTTGTCATTGTTGTCATTGTTGTCTCTTTCTCCCCGCACATGCATCTCCTGTCTCCGTTGCAAAAGTTGAGACCTCTCGTTCGTGCGGGGTGGGCGAGAATGCACGACTCAAACCCATGCTCCCCCCACATACCCTCCCACCGCATTCCGTCCTTGACCTACCCTACCTACCCTGCTCCCCCTCCACCATCCTTGCCCTCTTCCCACGCCCCTTGCAGATGCAGATCCAGTCTCTTGTTCGTGCGGGGTGTGGGAGGGAGGCCGCATGTGCGGCTGCACTGCTGGGAGATGCCAATATGCTTGAGAAGGCATGGGCGGACACAGGGATGGTGCCTGAAGCGGCTCTGCATGCACTGGTGAGTGCCATGCTGCCTTGCATTCCTGCATGCTATTGAGTCGACTCAAAGGCAGATGCCAATATGCTCTGAAAGGAATGGGCCGACACCAGCATGGTCCCTGAAGTGGCTCTGCATGCGCTGGTGAGCCAAACCAATAGTGGCACACATTAAGGCACAATTGGTCTGTGACTCTCTGGCTTACTGCGCTGGGAAAGGCATGGGCGGACACCAGCATGGTGCATGCGCTGGTGAGTGGTACAAATGTTCCAAAACTTTTTTTATGGCTGGTATTGTTTTCCGCGAGAAGGCATGGGAGGGCTCTCGCGTGGTCCCTAAAGTACGTTGCATGCACTTTTGAGGCAACATGGTGCTCGAGAAGGCATGGGCGGACATCAACATGGTGCTTGAAGCCGGTCTGCATGCGCTGGTGCTTTGGGCGATATTTCGCTGTAGGAGGATCGGGGACAAACTCCACCCCCTTATTGTCATCCCCTGTTCTCATGCCCCTCTGATTTTTGAGTCGACTCAAAAATCGACTCATTACCCTCTGATTCCTTATCCCCCTCTGCCTCACTACCCCCCTTACCCTGTTTTTCCCCTCTCCCTCTTTACCCCCCTCACCCACTTTTTCCCCCTCCCCCCTACCTGCCAGTCCCATGGGCGGCCCATCCTCTCCTCTCGCCTGAAGCAGCGGAACCGGTGGCTGCAGATTGTGGAGACGCAGCTGAAGCCTGTGACCTCAGTATTCCCCATCCCTTTCACCTGTGCTCTCCCCTCTCCCTTACCCACCAGTCGCACGGGAGCAGTGGAAGTGGTGGCTGCAGAAGAAAGAGGCGCAGCTGAAGCCCGTAAACTCAGTATTCCCCTTCCCCCTCTTCCCCCCCACCTATGCTCTCCCCTACTCACCAGTCCCACGGGCGGCCCACCCTGGCCGCTCTTCTGAAGCAGTGGGACCGGTGGCTGCAGAAGGAGGAAGCTCAGCTGCAGCCTGAGAACTCAATTCCCCCTACCTTTCACCTGTGCTCTCCCCACTCCCCGGCCCACTAGTCCCACGGGCCGCCCTACTAAAGCAGTGGAACCGGTGGCTACAGAAAGAGTTGGCGCAGCTGAAGCCTGGGAACTCAGTATCCCCCCTTCCTCCCCTTCCCCCCCACCTATGCTCTCCCCTACTCACCAGTCCCATGGCCGGCCCACCCTGGCCGCTCTCTTAAAGCAGTGGAACCGGTGGCTGCAGAAGGAGGAGGCGCAGCTGAAGCGCCACAACATGCTGCACACGGCGCACTTCAACACGCTCTTCGCCAACACCCAGGCCTCCGACGATCCCTTCCAGACCCTCGCACCCACCACCAAAGACCCACCTATCCAGATTGTTCCCCCTCGCGAATACTCCGTCGCCCAAACCGCCGACGACGGCAGGTTTTGCAGCGGGTTTGGGGCAGTGGGGGGAGCAGGAGGAGGGATGGCTGGTGGTTTCCCATCTGCTGTCGCTGCTGCGGCGGCGGCAGCTGCACCGGTTTGGTCCCTGGCTACAGCTGCGGCTGGGGGAAACTGGACTGCTCTTGACTCTCAAGCTCAAGATGACCCGTCGTTTTCGCGGCCTCCGCCTCCCAGGGCGGGGTCCAGTGGTATCCAGGGAATGACTGCCCCGCTTGACCTTTCGGTGCTTGAGGGGTCGCGGGAGCAGGCGGCGCCCCAGCGCGGCCTGTCGACCATTGCTGTGCCGGTGGACTTCAGCCAGTTTGAGAAGGAGTTTGCGGCTAAGGCTACGATCACTGAAAGTGCCAGGAAAGCAGAGGGAGCAGCAGTGGGAGGAGGGGCAGGAGGGGGGGGAGGGGTGGTAGGGGCGGCAGGGGCGGTGGCAGGAGTGGCAGGGGTTCAGGGGGGAGAGATGGGGAGTGGGAGCAAGGGGCAAGGGAAGGCAAAAGGGGGTGAAAGAGGGCAGGCAGAGAGTGGGAGGGCAGCAGCTGGTGTAGGACCAACCATGGCAGATCTAGAATGGGCGGCTCTGGGCGGCAATTAGCCGATGCGGGTGGCAACTGGCCTCTGGTATTCCCGTCTTGCTCACTTGGTTTATGGGACATGGCACGGTGTCGTTGCCAACTTACCAGTACAGGATGAGATTACTGTATGTATGAATGACAATCACTTCCACCCTAGTACCGTGATATGTCAGAAGAAACGGAATTTGTAGCACAGCAAGCGAGGGCTTTGAGGGCTTGGTTGTGCCAAATATGAACCTTATCTTGACGGAAAGGAAAATGTTGTAGCCATTCCACTTTTCCTCGACAATTTGTGTGCGGTCCGACTTTCCAAAGATTTGCGAACATTTCATGGCTATGTCACTGGCACCAAACCGCGGGGAGGGGAACCTTTTGTTCGTGACACGGAAATATCAACCAGATTCCACCCTACCCAAACCGAGCACACCGAGCTTACATAATCTTCCGAGGCGGGGGGGCTGCTCGATGGGCGAGCTCGCATATTTGTTTAGCATCTCGTTCAGGCGAGTGTCGTACCTGATTGTTCTGCTTGCGTTCTCTGTCTGCCTTTATTAGGACGCGACACTCTGGTTGCAGTTTACCAGGACATCTTAGAATCAGAAAGCCAACTGAAGAATGCGTTACACAGTGCCTTTATTCCTTAGGGAGTGCACAGTTCGTGGCCTAATAACCATGCATCTCCCCGAGACGGCGAGCGTTGAAAAGCTCCAGAAGGCATTTCCTAGGTCGGAAAGTTCCGCCGCTTCGGGGGGACTCCTTCTTGGGCACATTGTCGTCGAGACAATTTTCGGACACATTTTGGACGACGTATTTCTACGATGCGGGGGAAAAAACCGGATGATCAGACGGCGGAAGAACACGCGTATAGCCTTGCCGCCGCGTCGCATGAACGACTAGTACTTATTTCGGTTTGCCGTTGCCGGTGCTGCCAGTGCTGCCGGTGGTGCCGGTGGTGCCGGTGGTGCCGGTGGTGCCGGTGGTGCCGGTGGTGCCGGTGGTGCCGGTGGTGCCGGTGGTGCCGGTGGTGCCGGTGGTGTGGGTGGTGCCGGTGGTGCCGGTGGTGCCTGTGTTGCTGGTGGTGCCGGTGGTGCCGGTGGTGCCGGTGTTGCTGGTGGTGCCGGTAGTGCCGGTGTTGCCGGTGGTGCCGGTGGTGCTGGTGTTGCCGGTGGTGCCCGTGTTGCCGGTGTTGCCGGTGGTGCCGGTGGTGCCGGTGGTGCCGGTGGTGCCAGTGTTGCCCTTGCCGTTGCCGTTGCCGTTGCCGTTGCCGTTATTCCAGTTGACGGAGTGCGCCTTGTCGTACGCCGCGGATTCCACGTCCGCCTGATCCGCAGCTGCTTTGAGCGAATCAGAACGCGCCTTGGCCTGATTGAACTTGGTCTCGGCCGCCGCGCGAATGCTGGCGGCCACCCCAAGCGGGGCCTTGTTGTCTTTCGTCACCTTCGCCGCGGCTGTCGTCTTCACCTGAACGTCGGCCATGAGCGTCTTGATCGCATTCGGAAGCGTCTTCGTGTCGCCCACGTATTTGTAGTACACCCCCTCCGCATCCTTCGCGTCCTTCTTCGCCTTGTTCAGGTCAACGTTGTGCGCGTCCGCGGCGATCCTCGTGTCGATCTTGTCCTTCCGCGCGGTGGCCAGATCGTACTGCATCGCCTCCAGGGCATCCTTCGCGAGCGCGGCCTGCCTCTTAAGCGCGCCCAGGATACGATTCGCCTGCGCGCGGATCGCCTGCGCTTCGACGGCCGCCGCCTGCGCCTCGGGCGTCTTGAGCTTCGCGGCGCGGCGCGCGTAGTAGGTGGAATCGGCGGTGGCCTCCTTGGCGATGAGGGTCTGTTCGGCAACGAGCTCGTTAGCCGAGTCCAGTTGCTGCTGCGTGGGGACGATGTCCAGCTCCAACGCCTCCGTGTCTGCGATCGACTCCGCAGCTTGCTGCTCGAGCTCGTCATGGTAGTCCTGCTCCGTCTGTAGTGCGCTCCTGAACTTGATCATTTCCTGACGCGCTTTCTCCGCCTTGGTCCTCGCGTCGTCCAGCTGCTTCTTGGTATTCGCGAGATTCGTCTGGGAGGTTACCAGAGCGGCGTTCGCGTCGTCGATGAGCTTCTGGATCGCCTGCTCCGCCTTGAGCTTGGTGTTGTATTCCGCCAGCGCGGCGTTCGTCACCGCTTCCGCGTCGTTAGCGGTCTTTCGGGCTGCCGCGGCCTTGATGGCCATGTAAGACTGGGCGTTCACATCCGAGAAGTTTGCCGCGACCAGAGCAGATACAAGAACCAGCGCGACGATCGGAACGTGAAATCGAGGCATGGCTAGGGAGGGGCACGGGGTATGCTTGGTGATTGCTTAGAAGCGAGGGCAGCACGTTTGCTAATGTGTGAAGTAGATGACGGCCTTGGCTGAACTCGCTAGTGTTGCTTGAAGTGAGGTTGAGATGAATGTGCTAGGGACGGGTAATATATATGTGCTAGGGTTGAGTGTTTTGGGTTGGGTTGGGTTGGGTTGGTTTGGGTGCGTTGACACCGTGCCATGTGCACTTTCTTTCCCCCACTGCTCGCCGCCATGCCTGCCGGGATGTCTCCTCAATTTCCACATTCCTTTGCAAAGTTGACATCTTACGCGGCTCGCAGTTGCGCGCTTCGGCTTGAAGTGTGACGAATGCCATCGCGACTTGCTTGCATGGGCTGGCTTGCTCGCATGAGGTGAGTTGCTTGCTTGAGCCAGTCTCTTGATCCCGAGGGAGTATTCAAAGCCGCGCGTTCTGATGCCATCTTGGCACTTGGCGTCGAGACTACTTTTTCGGCCAGGAAGAACAAACATGTCCAGGATGAGCAAAGAGCATTTGGAAGAAATAAACGGTTTGTTCGTTTGTTTTTTTAAGCACGCCCTCGTCTCGAGGGGTTCTGGTGGTTGGGACACCAGCGCCCGAGCTTGTCGTTGCAGGAGCCCACCCTTGACAGTGGAGCACGTGGCAGGGTGAAGGTGTTGCCAAAATGGTCTGAGGGAAAGAATATGGTTAGCGACATACTACACCAGCCACGCCACCCCGTAACACCGAGCACATATGGTACTAGCAAATAACAAACTTATAATCTTGAAATGGTGCCAAAAACTTTAAACAAGCACCATACTTGGTTGTATGGTACAACGAGCAAAACCATATGTTTACCAGGATAATACCACCCTTGTTTTGTTTCGAGCACACCAATTTTTTACTGTGCCCTCCAAAAAAATCTCCACGTTCTAACGATGACTCTCCTCAGGCGAGGGCAAGAAGGGAGACACCATCATATTCACGAGTGCACCCACTCATTACCTCATTTATGAGGCGAAAACCGTGGCATGCACACAAGACGCAACAGCTGTTTATACGTTAATGTGCGTTTCAACAATTATTTCAGCATGGGACGCAGTCTAAGTTTGTGCGGCCGTGATGCAATAACCTCCTCTAAAGCGATCCTCCGAACTGTGTGGAAGTCAATGTCTGCATAGAGGCCCCTGTAAGAAACACCGATTGAAAGCACCAGCAGCAGCAACAGGAAGATGTTGAAACACTGTTATGTGCTTTGAGAACCATATGGCCGGGTGTAACTAGGCAAAACCTGTGGCGTGTGAAACGTGATGTGTCAGTTGGCCAGGTGTATCTGGCATAACCTGGCAAAACCATATTGGCGTGTGGTGCGCCGAACGTGGGGCGTATGGTGCGTGGAAAGTGGGGTGTGTGGTGCGCGGAAAATGGGGCGTGTGTTGTCTGCCAAGAGAAAGCAACAAGAGTGTCACCAGGAGAGTGGGAAGAAAGAGAAGGGCGCACCAGTAATGGTGCGTGGGCCAGGAAGTAGCTGAAAAAGTATGGCTCTATAACTATGAGGACGCGGGAAGTCAGGAGAGAACTCACCAGTAGTGGTGCTTGAACGAGGGGAGATGCTGGGAGAAAGTGGAGAGCTCACCCGAAGTGACGGGGGAAGGAGGAGAGCTCACCAGAAATGGTGCTTGGACCATGTACATGTGGGGAAGGCAGGGCTCGTAAGGCCATGAAGAATGCGGGCGATGGCACGGGCGTTGACAGGTGGCGCATCGGGATTGGCTTGCTGGCAGCGCAGGAACACCTGGATTGGAGGCAAGAGAGGGGCGGGTGGACGACGTGTGGGTGTATATGTGCAGGCGTGTGCGTGCGCATGTGAGCATGCATACATGTGCATGTGTGTGTGTGCATGCATATATTCACATGTGGGTGTGCATGCTTGTGTGTGCATGCGTGTGTTGTGCGCCATGATCCGTGTGTGGCCGAACGAACATTGCTAGCATGATGTTAGCAATGGGATCCCCATGTGTTAGCCCGATGCATCATGCCTTAAAGCCACATAACTTGATGCCAAACTCAGAAATACCCCCACTTTATGTCACCCTCCTTTATATTTCTCGATTTTATCCCACTCACCTTTATATTACTCAATTATATTCCACTCACCTTTATGTCGCTACGAAGAAATTGGCTAACGAGAGGCGATCCCAAATGATGCCGTTGACAAGCCCAGTTGTGCATGCATACCCAAGGGGAAACATAAAAAGCGGCATGCGTTTTCGTAGTCCATTGCACAGTCGAAACATAAAAAAAGACAACAAAGCGGGAGCATGTCAGATGGCCGAGCAGCGACAATCTCAGGGCTGCGTTCTCTGCACTGATTCCAGTGACGCCTTGACAAAATATTTTTGAGGCGCCTAAAAAAAATGAAAATCTCAGGGCTGCGTTCTCTGCACTGATTCCAGGGATGCCTTGACAAAATATTTTTGAGGCGCCTAAAAAAACAAACAATCTCAGGGCTGCGTTCTTTGCACTGATTCCAGTGATGCCTTGACAAAATATTTTTGAGGCGCCTAAAAAAAAAAACAATCTCAGGGCTGCGTTCTCTGCACTGATTCCAGTGATGCCTTGACAAATATTTCGAGGCGCCTAAAAAAAAAAACAATCTCAGGGCTGCGTTCTCTGCACTGATTCCAGTGATGCCTTGACAAAATATTTTTGAGGCGCCTAAAAAAAAAGGCAATCTCAGGACTGCGTTCTCTGCACTGATTCCAGTGACGCCTTGACAAAATATTTTTGAGGCGCCTAAAAAAAAAAAAAACAATCTCAGGGCTGCGTTCTCTGCACTGATTCCAGTGACGCCTTGACAAAATATTTTTGAGGCGCCTAAAAAAAAAACAATCTCAGGGCTGCGTTCTCTGCACTGATTCCAGTGATGCCTTGACAAAATATTTTTGAG